GGACCTCACATCTCTGCAAAATGCATATACTTGCCTTGGGAATGGCAGGCCTAAGCCTTTGGGCGTAGTTAATGCCTCTCCCAGCAAACATGAGTCCAACACCTTGGGCCCAGACCAAGGAGCACATACAGAAAGCTGGGCCAGACACAGGGACTGACTTCCATTTCCCTGAGGCTGAAGTTCTTGGAGCCCGGGAATTGGTCCAAGAGGCAATATCCTGGAGTAGAGTTGTTAAGGGCACCATCTGGGCCAAAGAGTGAATAGTTCCTTCTTCAGGCCCTCAAATTCTTTTGCTGAGGGTGGAGGGAACGTGGCTGAAGACTGCTGGGACCAAAATATCCCCAAACGGACAGTTTAGGGCAGCAGGATGTCCAAGGAAGTTGAGCCTCATGGGAGCCTAGAACGGAACCAGAATCTTGAGAGTGATGAATGGAAGTCTGCACTGAAGACAGATCCAAGTGAGGAATCCCCGTGTGTTTGATGTCTGTGGGCAGCTGAACACTTACCATCAGATGGTGGTCTCCGGCGTGGCCACTTGGAGGAGGGTGGAGGGGAGTGTTTTCTTGGTCAGGATCTTCATAGAATTTCCTGGTTTTGGATTCAGTTGAACCTCTGTTTAGGGCCCTAATAGGGCCACAGTGTACCTAAAACTTGAATTTGTAAGCTATCATCTCAGATGAACAAGCATGTGAACATATTATGTTATAGTGTCAACATAACCAGCCTTTGGGGCCGACAAGGACTTATGTTCTGGGAATCAAAGGACAATGATTGCAGTTCCTGACTCAGATGCCAGCTTGCGTATGCCCATGGCCAGCCTCGGACTGCGTGAGTGCTGCCTGGTCTCTGCCGGCGGTCATCATACTCCAGATGTTCACGGGGCTGTCTCTGCCGTGCCCAGTTGCATGGATCCTGGCCCATCTGTGTCTGGTCATACTCTGCATAGCAGACCAGAAAGAGATGACTGTGACCCCAGTGAGGCCTCCCAGCCCTACCATGACCCCGGTTCCTGATGAGTGTTTGTAGAATTGACGGGTGATGCAGGGATGCCCACTGGCATGGCAGGATGCATTTCAAGCCTGGCACACCTCACTCAAGGAGATCCTTTCTGGTGGTGACTGGATCTGGCTCACCTCCCACCCAGCCGCCCTGCAAGGTCCCTTCTGAAACTTGACAGCCAGTCCCATTCCCAGAAAGAGGTGGTGACCTTGTCACCTGCTCATCTGCCCTTTTCCATCCACTCACATTTTTACTACACCCAGAGTCTCTTGACTGCTGGGGCCTGCCCTGTACCCTTCATCCTCAGGACCCACCTCACCAGTCAAGGAAAAATTACTCCAGAGGGCTCCACCTCCCCCTGCTTCCTCACCACGGGGCACAGCAGAACTTGGTACCTACGTCCTCTGCTTCAGATTTCCATTGCAACCAATTTTTGTGTCTGCAGCTTGCACAGCCTTCAGCACAAATAGTGCATGCCCCTTTTCCACTTGCCAAAAGGGAACTGGTGAGGATGGGCCGTAGAGGTCTTGTTATGTGGTTATGTTCTTCCAGGAACCTCACCTTGGACCATGACCACGGCCACCCTCTCCGTACAGGTGGAGGAGCAGAGCCTGACTCTGAGCAGAGCAGACCTGGGCACCGAGCACTGAATTCAGGCCGGTGGCCAGGGTCTGCTGTCCAGACTCTTCTAAGGCGAAAAAATCACTTTGTATAAATGAAGCCAAGATAAACAGGCGACAGAAATGTCAGGAGAAAATGTTAACATAAGCTCCAGTTCAAAAGAAGGCAGGTGTTCCTGGTTTCATCAAGTAAGGGTCCATCATGGATGAACTGCTCCCCAAGAAAAGTGATAGAAACATGCTGGGCTTCCTTAGGATTTGGTTAGCTCCTTGGTATCAAGCCTAATTTAGGAGTAAAGTCTTGCTGACCTTTAAACCAACCAACTCGAACCACACAGTTGATATTTTCTTTATTTTATTATTACTGAGTTACTCAGGAAATTATGGGGTTATTTTCCACCTTATGATTATTAGTATTAATGATCATTATTAGTGTTAATCACCGTTTACATGATGCTTCATTGTTTGTGAGGCTCTAACTTGCATGGTCTCATTTACTGGCAGTGAATTCCTTGGAGAAACCCAACACGTATCATCCTCATTTTCTTGGTGAATTCATCCCTTTTAGTAATGTATTGACAACTTGTCCAGTAACCTACCAGAAAATTCCCAGGAAGAAACGGTTGAATTCTCCAGAATTTGGAATTGGATAACAGCTCGATTGTTTTTTGTTTTTGTTGTTTATTTCATTCCTCTTGATATGCACTGAGAAGAATGTTTTGTTCTAAAAATATAGAAAATTGTGTGTTATAAAGACACTAGCAGAGACAAGCTCCATCCAGGGAGGGAGTCTATGTAGTGTCAAAGGAGAGGATGCAGATTGGGCTTCTGAAGCTGTAACCTTGGGATTGGTTAGAATGCAGATTTTGATTCAGTCAGTCTCAAGTAAGGCTTAAGGTTTATGCATTTCTGACAAGCTGCAGATGAAGACCTGGAAATCTGGTTGGTGGACAGAAGTTGTTGAAGCGGGATGCCTCTTTCCAGCTATCTGCACTTTGAGTCAGGCGGCTGTGACCCTGAGGGAGTTCAGAGGCCTCGCTGCCTGCAGACCACACCTGGAGAAGTCAGCCCAGAGGGAGGTTTCCTGATCCTTAGTCATAAACTAATCAAGGGCACAGGTTAAAAGTGTTGGTTACTAGCAGGGACTGTGTCGGAATGTCGGTCACAGAGAGGCTTTTACAGCCCTGACTACACCGCTGCATTTAGCACGGTGGGGAGGGGAGGCTCTCGCACCCATAGATAGGCGTCAGGATAAGTAATGTGTGCTTTAATAAGAACTGGAGATCGCGCTTTTGAAGTTCTGGCTGGAGAATAAGGTTTGGCACCTGGTGGAGTGATTGCTAAGTTGTATTGTCACTGTCTTTAAAAACAGTGACATTTTGTGTGTGTGTGCATGTGTGTGTGTATTTTCACCACCAGATTGTCAAAATGCCCCTGTTTTTAAGAAAATAATCTGTCCATCCAGTTCTTCCTCATTCTGGCCTGAGGTGAGCCCAGCATGTGCCTCTGAGGGAACCAGGGGGAGAACCTGTGTTGTGGTGGGCAGGTGAGTCTGGTGAGTACCTGAGGCAGGGAGGGCCGAGCAGGAGGCAGGGTGTGTGCTTTGGAGCAGGTGTGGCCTGAGCAGTTGCGAGCCTGTAGCCAAAGCAAAGTGCCTGGTGAGCAGAGCAGGGGGCACCAAAGGAAAGCCCGGACAGTGGCCCAGAGGGGCCCGAGGCCTTGTCTTAGCAGTCCAGGGCTTCATCTGCAAGGATGTAGGCCAGCAGAGTTTCTGGGAAAGGGCAGATCGCACATGTTTTCAGCTTTGCAGGCCATGCAGTCTCTATCGCAAGTACTCAACTGCAAAAAAGCAGCTGTATGTAGATGGTGTGGCTGTGTGCCAATACAACGATTTACGAACACTGAAGTTCATATAAATTTTTATGTGTCCCAAAATATTATGCTTTTGATTCTTTTTCAACCACTTAAAAATGTGAAAGCTCTCCTTAGCTTGCAGGCTGCACAAAGACAGATGGCAGGCTGGATTTGACCCAAGGCCCAGGTTGACCCACCTGTGGCATACAGGCTGTGTTGGTCTAATAGGATCTCAGTGTACAGAATCTTTTGTGGTCAAATTTTAGAAATTGTAATAAGATGGCTTGGCACAAAGTCCAGCACATAAACTATATACCACAATGGGAAGAATGGAGAAGTTGAGATTATTCCACATTAGGGACATAAAACCCACTTGTGGCTATTCTCTCTAAAGTTTTCTCTTTGGAGAAAAATGTGTGGTGAATAGGTTCCCATAGCGCTCTAATATGCAAACATATGCTACAATAAATTGATTTCAGGTAGAGATAAGACTCTTCGACTCACAGCAGAGAGCGCTGCATTTCTCCGGGACCCTCGCAGCAGCCTTTCCGAGCAGCTGGGACAGGCATTAGCCTGTTTTACAGAGGAAGAAGCTCCTGCCCACAGAACTGGTGTCACTAACCCAAGGCAACAGTTCTACCAAGCTGGGGGCCAGGATTCACATCGGATCTTCCTATTCCGGCTGGTGTTTTTGTTTTCACTTTCTCATACAGTCCTTTGGAAGAACTGTGCCCTAAAATGTCATTTGCAAGCCGTTTACTAGAACATGGAAGTTTTCTCTTCAGAGAAAGAAGAATGTGGTGAACAGATTCCTAGGTTGCCCGGGATGAAATGACCCTTTCATCTGTAGCAGCAGAACTGTAGTCCTGGAGCTTTGATGTGAGTTCTAAGGCCTGGGGGCTGTGAGAAGTAGGAAGAAGTAGGTAAAAAAGCACATTTCTTTGCCTGAGAGTGGCCCCAGACAAAATTCCCAAGAGGCTGGCGATGTCCGAGCTATCTTCTGTCCTGTGGGCCCCCTGCCCCCTCCCCGTCTCTGGCCACCTGGGCCTCTCGCTTGCCCCATCCCTCCGTGACATGCAGCTAAGGGGGCGTCTTGTGCAGTGTGGCCGGCTGGCCACCGCCTGCTAGTGTGAGGGCAGGAGCCAGCCCCGATGAGGACAAAGGCACAGCCGACACCGGCTCCTGCCCCAGACTCAGCCATGCTCTTGTTTCATGCCTCCACCTTTCATGAACTTCCTGACCTGAAATGTGGGTCTCCCCAGCTTCTCTCACGGCTTTCGGGAGACGGGGTGGGAAGGAGACCCGCCCAGCAGCGCCGAGTCACTGGGACCCACCTGAGGGGCTCCCTGGGGCCGACCCCAAGAGATGGCAAAGGAGCTTTCTCAGGGCCTGAAGCCTTCGAAGCCTTTCCGTGGGGGACTCTGCTCTGGCTGGGCCGTCTCGTGGCGGGCGCGCGATCTTCAGAAGATAATGAAGACCTGGAATCGGTGGATGGAAGGACGCCGCTAACGCAGACCCTCTTTCCAGGCCTCTGCTCCTCGAGTCGGGCGGCTGCGACCGTGCCGGGGCTCGGAGGTACCGTGAAGCTGCCGCTGCTTTCGCGTTCAGCCGCGCGGCCACGGAGCTGGCCATGGTGCAGCCGCCCCGCCCGGCCCCAGCAGCAGCCTCTCCCCGTGGCCGACCCCGCCTCTCCCCCGCGGGCCACGAGCCCTCATGCCAGGGCTGTTTGTCTTGCTCCCGGCTGCAGCCTGGGCTTGCCCTTCCCCTGCCGCGGTGCCCCGTGCTGGAGAAAGGCCCTCCCAAGGTTGGGCCGAGGCGGAGGGGGAGCTTTTCCCAGCCAGCTGGACGCGGCCCTCGTTAGAAAGAAATGCCGAGGACCTGTGACGGGCGAGGGAGTGTGTCTGCACCGCGGCCCCTGCGGCCTGCAGCCTCCGGGCCCCAGATGCCTTTGTCTTTCCAGGGCGGACTGGAGCGCCCTGGTCCCTCTGTGGCTGCGCCATCGGCAGCTGGGGCTGCAGGCCAAGGGCTGGAACTTCATGCTGGAGGATTCCACCTTCTGGATCTTCGGGGGCTCCATCCACTATTTCCGCGTGCCCAAGGAGTACTGGAGGGACCGCTTGCTGAAGATGAAGGCCTGTGGCTTGAACACCCTCACCACGTAGGTACTACCCCCGCCCCCATGGAGCCTGAGTAGGGCGCCTGGTGTCTGCATGCGAAAAATATAAGAGGAAGCAGCCCAGGTCCTCTGCCCAGGGCGAGAGAGCCAGGGTCTCCCTCCTCCTCCCCACCTCAGAGCTCCTGACTCATGGGCGTGAAGGGACATGGATGTAAGGTCTAGAGGAACCAAAGTAGCGATGTCGCACAAAAGAGTATAGTGAAGGAGGTGAGTGCAAATTGAGGAGGTGATTCACTGCCAGGGAATCATTTTCTTTAACAAGCAGTCTTCCCACTTCCAGTTCATACAGCCAGTGAGCGGAGCCTTCTTCCGAAGAGCTGCCCGAGAGGCTCTCTGGCCCCGGTTTTCAGCACTCCTCTTGGGCAGTGGCCTTAGGAGGCTGTGGTTGTCATCTCAGCCTCTGTTGTGATGATTGGCACATGGAAGGCACACAATAAAATGTTGAATTTGCAAATCATTTATAAAATGTGCTCAGTTGCGAATAACCTGGATCTTTTCATGGGTTTCCCCCGCAAATTGCCAACAGATACTTGACTCTAAGTCTACGAAATAAAGGGAGTGATCAGGCTGGATTATTCCATGTTTAGGCAAAAATATGTGATTACAAATCAAGGAGATGGCTTTTCATGGGTGGTTGATGAACTGATTTTGAAGACAGTTCCTTAAAGAGTTACAGAAACGCGCTGAGCCTTGACAGCTTCCCAGAAAGGACTCCTGAAGGTTGCAGGAGTGCAGCAGGCTCAGCACTTGGCCCCACAGAAGCAGCACCGACGACATTTTCTGAAAGGCAGAACTCGTGTGTCTGAGTTGGAAGCCAGGCAGCCTCTCCTCCTTCACCTGGGAATATTCTTTGTAGTGGGCAGAGGCTCTGCTGAAGCCAGTGACGGGGCGGGGCTGGGAGAAGGGCAGTTGTCATCACTGTGTCATCCATGAGTCGTCCCTTCCGCCTGTCGAGTTGAGCCTGTCCATGAGCCTGCTCTGTCCCTTCTCCTGTCTTCAGAGTTGGAAGCGTCATTCTGTTGCATGTTTTGCAGTTCTGGGTGCTTCAGTAAATATAGGATGATCACTGAGCTTTCCTCTTACTCCTTGTAGCTGTTTTTCTGATAAAGTTACATTTTCTTCTCCAGTGGGGCGTGGGCATGGTAAGCTAACTGGGGTCGGAGCGCCTGGCCTTTTACTTCGCAGGTCTGTGCTTCGTCCAGATCTTGTCAATGCAGAGGGAAGAGGGCTTGCCCTCGATTCTGGTCCCTAGATCAGTTCACGTAGTTCTTGGTTCCAGTCCTAAAATCATGAAGAAACCTATCTTTAGCCATCATATTGGATTTTTGGGAGATGAAGTGGAATGAATAACACACTCTAGCCTATAATTATCATTTCTGTTGCAGCTACGTTCCATGGAACCTGCATGAGCCAGAAAGAGGCAAATTTGACTTCTCTGGGAACCTGGACCTGGAGTATGTGGTGTTGCTGCTTCTGTGACCTGGCCAGGGGCAGGGGCAGAGAGGTGGTTACCTGGGGATGGACTAGCAACCAAAGAGAACCAGGGAGGGACCTGGGTCTGGAGCCCTGTTCTAGGACTGTGAGAGGCCCTGCACCCAGGGCCCAGACACTCCTCAGCTGTGACCTGTCACCCAGAGGGGCTGGGCCTGCAGCTTCTGGGCCCCACTTCTCCACTGCAGCCCAGAGGGGCAGAAAACCCGGGAGCCGCCCGACTCTGCATGGGATCCGGCTGCCTGGGCTGGGGCAGGGCAGCCCCTCTAGGCTAACAAGGCTGTTGGGTCAGGTTCACTGTTAAGACCCCTGTGCCCTGGCTGTCACCCTTCCTCCTCAGGCCCCCAATGGGGCTGTGCAGAGGCTCTGAGGCTGGGAGCAGCTCAGGCCACCACCCTGATGTGGGAGTCCCCGCTCTTTGGGGGATGGGGCCGAGCTGTCCCTTCGCCCCACTGGGCAGCTCCTCCACCCTGTGACGTGTGTGGCCCCCACCCGGCCTCATCCTGGGCCGTCATGGGAGGGGCTGACGATGTGGACCTCCCTAGGGCCTTCGTCCTGATGGCTGCGGAGATCGGGCTGTGGGTGATTCTGCGTCCGGGCCCCTACATCTGCAGTGAGATGGACCTCGGGGGCTTGCCCAGGTAAGCGGGGCTGGGAAGGGTCCTGTGTGCTGTTGCCCAGGTAAGCGGGGCTGGGAAGGGTCCTGTGTGCTGTTGCAGAAAGCTCATAGACATAGGTCTAGTTTTGTTTCCGTGTTCCAGTTCCCATTCCGTACGGAATTTCCGTGTTCCAGTTCCTGTTCTGTACGGAATTTCCTTTTCAGGAAAAGCAGCACCCAGAGGGGATCACGTTCAGTGATGCTGCAGTGAGTGCCTTTGCGGAGCCTTGCATGAGCTGCTTGTGTGACAGGCAGCCGCAGGGCTGGCCCTCCTGGCATCTCGTATTTCAGGGCTTTGCTGTGGAGCTGGGAGCCCTGGCACGTCATTCACCTGCTTGTTTACAGTATGGGAAGAATCAGACCTTCCCTGTCTCTTTGTTTTTTGAGACGGAGTCTTGCTCTGGCACCCAGGCTGGAATGCAGTGGCATGATCTTGGCTTATTGCAAGCTCTGCCTCCCGGGTTCAAGCGATTCTCCTGCCTCAGCTTCCCGAGTAGCTAGGGTTACAGGTGTGTGCCACCACACCCAGCTAATATTTGTATTTTTAGTAGAGACATGGTCTCACCATGTTGGCCAGACTGGTCTGGAACTCCTGACCTCGTGATCTGCCTACCTTGGCCTCCCAAAGTGCTGGGATTATAGGCATGAGCCACCACGCCGGGCCTTCCCTATCGCTTTCTTAGGAATGTTTCCAAGCATATTTTGAAAAGTCCAAGTATTTTGATAAAGTATAAGAGACACAAATTCTTGTTATGGTTTTGTCTTCATATCTCGGCCCACATGTGTCATCTTCCCAGTGGCAGTCTTGGCTGAGGTTGTTATTCTGTGGTTGGAGGGGAAATCTGGACAGAAGTCAGCTGGGACTTCATTCATTCCTCATCCTCAACATTGTAGCCTTTGAGATTTTCTTGTTAACAAGTGTAACCTTTCTCAGCCTCCCAGTGTACCAGGTGGTTAGACGCAGACTGCCTCAGGGAAGAGGCCCATCCTTGTCCCCAGCCCTCTCCCCTTCCCCGGGGAGCCCTGGGCTTGCTTTCCTCCTGGTTTCCAGCACGACCTGCCCTTCCCTCAGAGGCATAGCTTCTGTCTCCACTACCCAGGGTCACTTCTCAGGCACTCATCCATTCAGCCTGGTAGGCTCGCCCTTGACACGATCACAGCCAGGGCAGCCTCTCCAGTCCCTGCGGATTAGAAAGCTGTGTGCCACCGTCAGCGATTTCCTCGGCTTAGCCAGGGCTGGGGACAGGAGGACGAAGGGTTTAACAGTCTTAACTTAGAAGCAGCGGGGAGCTGTGGCACTCAGACTCCCCTTTCCCACCCCGCCCATGTGGCACCTGCCCATGCATGAGAGGGGCATGTGGGCACACCCGCAGAGGGGGAGTCCGGGCAGGAGTGAGAAAGCTAACCTGTCAGGTGGGGTTCGAATGTGGGAGTGTGGGTCTAGAGGAAACTGCTCTCTTCACCCGTTGTTTTACCCACAGAAATGGAATAATTTCCTGACCCTGTTTAGGACTTCCAGACCAGGGCGAGAGGAGCCTCAGAGCCTTTTGTTAGGAAATATAAGTGTCTTCTCAGAAGCTGAAGTGAGAAGGAAGCCCTGACTCCCGCTTTGGAACCAATCCATGCTGCTGTGTTCCCCTGGGGAGTTTGGGATCACAGCAACAGGGTGGAACGAGAATTCAACTCTTGCTCACCTGCTGCTCTGGACTGAGCTCTGCACAGCCCACGCCACTGATGCCAAGGCGTTAGCCGTGTTGGCAAGGATGGCGGCTGCCTCCTGCTCGGCCCCTCGCAGTCTCTGTCAGGCTTGTTTTTTGGGGTGACGCTAGAGGGTTGTGTCTCCTCCTTCCACAGCCTCAGTGATTCCTAACCCTTTTGGCTTCACTCTTTGTGATGCGATCGTAGAGCAAGTTCTCGGAAACTAGGCCTGGAGTCTGCGAAAAGCTCTTCTCACTGCTGGCAGCCAGGCCCTGTAGCTGTGGGGCTGGAAATGAACTTCCACCAGGCTGTGTCCTTCCACCAGGGGGAGGGAAGCTGCAGGAGTGCGGGTGGGTGTGCGCCCCAGAATCAGTTTGCATCGGCTCCCCACTTCTGGGCTGAGTGGGGTGGAGGAGGTCACAGGTCATTCCGGAGCACTGTGGGGCCTCTCCCTCCTCACTGCTCCCAGCAAACCCACCGTGACACTGACATCCTTCCTTCCCCTTTATACTTCAAGCTGGCTACTCCAAGACCCTGGCATGAGGCTGCGGACAACTTACAAGGGCTTCACCGAAGCAGTGGACCTTTATTTTGACCACCTGATGTCCAGGGTGGTGCCACTCCAGGTACAAGTAAATGAGGCCTTCTTTGATCTTGGCCTGTCTTCCTCTAGGTAGTGGATCATTCTCGGTTAGTTCTCAGACCAAGGGTCCTCCAGTGTTTTTGAACACAGGAACAGGTTCTTCCCCACTGCCTGAAACTGATAACTGAGGGGCTTGCAGTAGTTGTCTTTTGAAAGATCTGTGCATTTCAGTGTTGTCTCACTTGGGTGTGTTACTGAAAGGACAGACAGATGTAAGGGCTCACATTGCCACATACGGCACTGGAGAGACAGGGGTGCCATGATAGCCGGGAACACGCATCCACCGGCGTCTCTATCGTGCCAGAGAGACGGGGTGCCGTGACAGCCGGGAACACCCGTCCATCTGCCAGTGTCCCAGTAGCGCTGCGGCTCAGTTCTGCAGGGGGTGGAGCACGTGTGGATTAACCTTTGTCTGTAAGACTGCAGGAGTTTTTATAAATTATCAAAGTCCTGTGGCTGACTTGACGAGATGCTTCCCTCTGCTACCAAAGAGGTGCTGCATGTTCCACATTTACTACTCAAAACGCGCGTTAAAGTAAATTCTGGGGGAGGAAGTATCTTAATTTTTATATAACGATTGGAAGCTGTGGAAAGCAGGAATGGGAAAAATCACCGCAGTTGCTCTGTAAAACCAGAAAGAACAACACTGAGAAATTAGTACATTAGCAAAAAATTAGTTCAAGTCAGTGCTGTGGAATACTCACCACACATAAATCAAAGGGGACTGCCAGAGGAAACACAGGATGCTCAGTTATATTTGACTTGCAGATAAGCAAGGAGTAATTTTTTTAGTGTAAATATATTTCAAATACTGCATGGGCCATACTTACACTAAAAAATTATTGTTGTGAATTCAAATTTAAGTTTATGCCTGGTATTTTTGCTTACTAAATCTGGCAACCGATGGAAGCCGATGGAAGCAAGTAACTAGGAAGTCAGCCTAGATCTTGCCGGGAAGCTGGGGCCACTGAAGGGGTCAGCAGGTTGTAGGAGTCGGGTGGGCGGCAGGAAGCCATCCTGGGAGCAGGGTCAAGGCACTTGCATATCTGCAGTGGGTCACCAATGCGTCTTTTTCAAATGATAACATAATAATAATTATTTACCATATTTAAATAATCACATAACTAATTACCACCCAAAAGTCCCATCTCTGAATACTGTCACACTGGGGGTTAGGATTTCAACATGTAAATTTTGGGGGAACACAGTCTATTGCAACCACTGTCTGTCTCCAGACCTTTTCTGTCTTCCCCAAAGTAAACTCCGTGCCGGTAAACTCTCCATTCTTCCCTCTCTCAGCTCCTGACAACCATTCTACTCTCTGTCTCCATGCATTTGATCATTTTAGCTACCAAATATAAGTGAAATCACATAGTGTTGTGACTGGATTATTTCACTTAACAGCGCACTCTAGGTTCATCTGTGTCATAGCCTGTGCCAGAATTTCCTTCCTTTTGGAGACTGAACTATGTTCCATTGCATGTATCTGACACGTGTGTTCACCCATTGACGAACATTCGAGTCGCTTCTGCCTTTTGGCCACTGTGAATGAAGCTGCTGTGAGCATGGGTGCACGGGTACCTTCTGAGTCCTCGCTTTCACTTCTTTTGGGTATATACCTGGAAGTAAAATTGCTGGATCAACTTGTCATTCTACATTCAGTTTTTTTAGGAATTGCCATTCAGTTTTTTTAGGAATTGCCATACTGTTTTCCATAGAAATTGCACCAAATTACATTCCCACTAGCAATACACAAGCATTCCAATTTCACCACATCCTTGCCAACACTTGTTATTTCCTGTTTATCTGGCGAGAGCCATCAGTGGGTGTGAAGTGGCCCCTCGTGGTGGTTTTGATTTGCATTTCCCTAGTGATGTTGAGCATCTTTTCATGTGCTTATTGGTCATTTGCATATCTTGGAAGAAATGTTTATTCAAATCTTCTGCTCATTTTTGAATCTAGTTGTTTGTTTTTATGTTGTTGATTATAGGACTTCTTTGTACTTTCTGGATATCAATTCCTTAACAGGACCTGCCGGGACTGGGTCCTTCCCTTCAAGGCAGCAGGTTCCCTTTTGGCTCAGGGTGTGTCTAGCAGTGCCGGAAGCTAGGGCCTGGAATGGGGACCTCTTGACTCTGCTGGTGCCCTTTCCTACTGTGGATGAGCTGGTATCCAAGATGTAAGACAAAGTCCTCTTTCCTCTTTGCTCTCCTCTCCTTAAGCAGAAGGAAGGAGCCACTTTTGTTGCTGTGAGCTGCGCTACCTGGGGTTGGGGGTGGAATGTGCGAGAACTCCCTTAGCCGTGCCAGCTGGTGTCTCCTTAGGCCATGTGCCATGTGCCATGCTAGTACGCTGGCTGGAAGCTCATCCTAGCTCCAGGAATGGCGTAGGAACTGTGGTCTTTGTGTCCTCGACTGCCTTTCATGTTTACCTAGAACTCTGGAGCACTTCAGCCCATGGTGGTGAGGCTTCCCGAGAAACTCAAGTTCCAGTCACTAGGGTGGGCAGTTCCTCTCTGGCTAGGGCTGGTCCAAATGCTCCCTCTACGTGGAGCTGGCTGAGCCCAGCATGGCTTTATTCTGTGCTGTGACAAGGCAGCACTGAGTTCAATGTAAAGGTCCCCAGTCACTGGGCTCTCCCTTCCCCAAATGCACAGATCGTCTCTCCTCACCACTTGGCTGCCGCTGGGAGATGGGAGCGGGTGGCATTGGTGGTGTGAGACTGTCTCTCTTGCCTGCCTCAATGCCTCTTTTGGTGACATGATGTTAAAACGGGTACTGTGACTGGTCACCTGAGTTTCGGTTTTTGTGACTGTGTGCGGATCATCGCTAAATTTAGCGTTCCAGCAGGATGGATGAACGGTGCAGGTTTCTATTCCTCCATCTCGCTCCACTGTCCTTTATTTTCTTTTAGTATTTTTTTGTAATGTACAATCAGTGTACAAATATTTCACCTCCTTGATTAAGTGTATTCCTAAGTATTTTGTTGTTTCTGATGGTGTCGTAAATGGAATTGTCCCCGACAGTGTATAAAAACAATGGATTTTTGTGCATTGATTTTTTTTATCCTGCAAGCTTACTGAATTATTAGCTGGATAGTTTTTTTTCGAGGGTGTGGGGATCTGTACTGTTTTCTGCATTTAAGATCATGTTGTCTGTGAACAGAGATAACTTCTTCCTTTCCAACTTGGACGCCTTTATTTTTTTCTTGACGAATTGCTCTGGCCAGGACTTCCAGTACGGCGTTGAACAGAAGTGCTGAAAGTGCGAATGCTTGGTTTGCTCCTGATCTAGAGGAGAAGTTTTCAGTCTTTCACCACTGAATATGGTGCTAACTGTGGGCTTTCCGTGTGGGCCTTTGTTAGGTTGAGGTAGTTTCCTTCTATTCCTAGTTGACTGAGTGTTGTTTTAATCATGAAAGAATGTGGAATTTTGTCACTTTTTTCCTGATCAGTTGAGATCATCGTGGTTTTCCCGTTAATTTAGTTAATGTGGTGTATGACACTGATTGATTGTTTTTCTTTTTTTTTTTTTTTGAGATGGAGTTTCACTGCTGTTGCTCAGGCTGGAGAGCAACAACACTATCTCAGCTCACTGCAACCTCCTCCTCCCAGGTTCGAGTGATTCTCCTGCCTCAGCCTCCTGAGTAGCTGGGATTGCAAGTGCCCGCCACCACGCCCAGCTGATTTTGCATTTTTAGTAGAGACGGGGTTTTACCCTGTTGGTCAGGCTGGTCTCGAACTTCTGACCTCAGGTGATCTGCCTGCCTCAGCCTCCCAAAGTGCTGGGATTATAGGTGTGAGCCACCACGCCTGGCCTACACTGATTGCTTTTCACATGGCAGATCTTCCTCGCAGTGCAGGAATAAATCCCATTTGATCATGGTTTAGAATTCTTTTAATATGCTGCTGAATTAAGTTGGCTAACATGTTGTTGAGGGTTTTGGCATCAGTATTCATCAGGATTGTTAGTCTGTGTTTTCTTTTCTTATAGTGTCTTTTGTTTGTCATAAAAGAAAAAAGTGTGAACTTTTAAAAAAAAATTTTTTTTTGAGATGGAGTCTTGCAGTCTCCCAGGCTGGAGTGCAGTGGTGCAATCTCGGCTCACTGCAACCTCCACCTCCTGGGTTCACTCGAGTCTCCTGCCTCAGCCTCCTGAGTAGCTAGGACTACAGGCGCCCGCCACCACACCCGGCTAATTTTTTGTATTTTTAGTAGAGACGGGGTTTCACCGTGTTAGCCAGGATGGTCTTGATCTCCTGACCTCGTGATCCACCCGCCTCAGCCTCCCAAAGTAAAAATGTGAACTTTTTTTTGACACTTCTATATCCAGCAAAACTCAAAAATGAGGGAAAAATTCAGAAATTCCCAAAGAAAAGTGGAAAGAGTTTATTACTGTATTCTACCTTATAGTATAAGGTAGGAAGTGTTCCTTCCCTTTCAATTTTTGGGAAGGGTTTGAGGAAGACTGGTGTTAATTTTTCTTTAAATGTTTGGTAGAATTTACCAGTGACGCCATCTGGTCCTGGACTTTTCTTTGTTGGGAGGTTTTTAGTTCCGGATTTGGTGTCCTTACTAGTTATAGGTCTATTCAGATGTTACGTTTCTTCATGATTGAGTTTTGGCATATTACATGTTTCTAGGAATTTGTGTGTTTCATCTAGGTTATTTAGTATTTAATTTGTTGGTATACAGTTTGTTCACATTCCTCTTTTGTAATCCTTTTTATGTAAAATCAGCAGTAATAACCTCATGTTGTTTCTGATTTTAGTTGAATCATATCTTGTTTTCTTAGTTTAGCTACACTTTGTCAATTTTGTTGATCTTTTCAAATAACCAACTCTTGGTCTCATTAATTTTTCTTTATTGTTTTTCTATTCTCTCATTGTATATCTCTGTGCTAATTTTTATTATTTCCTTCCTTCTGCTACCTTTCAGTTTGTTTCCTTTTTTCTGGTTCCTTAAGGTGTCAAGTTAGGTTGTTGATTTGAGACTTTTTGTCTTTTAAATGTATTTATAGCTATAAAATTTCCTTCTTTGCACTGCTTTCACTCTATAATTTTGTTTCCATTTTCATTTTTCTCAATATATTTTCTAATTTCTCTTGTGATTTCCTCTTTGGACTATTGGTGAAGATTTTACTATTTCCACATACTTGAATTTTTCAGGATTTTTTTTTGGCTATTGATTTCTAGTTTCATTCCTTTGTGATTGGGAAAAATAAAACTTTGTATGATTTCAATTTTTTAAATGTATTAAGGCTTGAGGCTGGGTGTGGTGGCTCATGCCTGTAATCCTAGCACTTTGGGAGGCCGAGGCAGGTGGAACACTTGAGGTTGGGAGTTAAAGACCAGCTTGGACAACATGTTGAAACCCGTTCTATACTAAAAAATACAAAAATTAGCCAGGCGTGGTGACGGGCACCTGTAATCCCAGCTACTTGGGAGGCTGAGGCGCAAGAGTCACTTGAACCTGGGAGATGGAGGTTGCAGTGAGCCAAGATTGTGCCATTGCACTCTAGCCTGGGTGACAGAGCGAGACTCTGTTTTTTTAAAAAAGAAAAATTTATTAAGGCTTGTTTTTTGGCTTACTATATGGTTTATCCTGGAGAGTGTTTTATGTGCCCATGAGAAAAATATGTATTGTGCTACTTTTGGGTGGAATGTTGTGTGTATATATATATGTTAGGCCCCAACTGGTCCATAATATTGTCCAAGTCCTCTATTTGGTTACTAATTTTCTGTCTGGTTATTCTATCCATTGTTGATATTCAGATATTGAGTCTCCTACCATGATTGTAGAGCTGTCTATTTTTCCCTTAATTAAATTTTGCCAGTGTTTGGTTCATATACTTTGGAATTCCAGTGTTTGGTACATCTGTGTTTATAATTGTTATATCCTTTTGGTGAATTGACCCTTTTATCATTATATATATTTTATCATGTCTTTCTTTGTCTCTTGTAACGGTTTTTGATATAAAGTCTATTTTGTTTGATATCAGCAAAGCCACTCCTGCTCTTTTGATTACTGTTTTGCATAAAATACCTTTTCCCAGCCTTTCATTGTCAACCAATATATATCCTTAGATCTAAAGTGAGTATCTTGTAGACAGTATATAGTTGGATATTGGTTTGTTAAAAATTCATTCTGCCAGGTATGTCTTTTGATTGGGGAGTTTAATATATTTACATTCAGAGTAATGACTGATAGGCCATCACTTGCTTTTGCCATTTTCTTGTTTTCTGTATGTCTTACAGCTTTTTGTCCCTCATTTCCTTTATGACTGCCTTACTTTGTATCTAGTTGATTTTTTATAGTGACACTTTTTTTTATAGTGATTCCCTTTGCTTTGGGATAAGGTAAAGGATATGTAATATCCTAAAGTTGAGACATTCTATTTTAAATTGATACCAACCTAACTTCAACTGCACACAAAAACTGTACTCCTTTACAGTTCTGCCCCCCACTTTATTTTATTGATGTCACAAAGTATGTCTTCACTTTGGGTGTACCCATTAACTTAGATTTATAATTATTTTATATCTTTTAAAATCTTATAGAAAATAAAAAGCCACATTATAAAGAAAAATTATAATAATATTTTTATATTTTTTATGTGTCTATCTTTGCTGGAAAACTTTATATTTTCATATAGCTTCAAATTACTCTCTAGCATTTTTTCACTTCAACTTTAGGTGTTTTTTTTTTGGCAAGGTCTAGTGGTAATGAACTCTCTTAGCTTTTCTTTGGGAATTTCTGATTTTTTCCCTCATTTTTGAGTTTTGCTGAATATAGAAGTGTCAAAAAAAAGTTCATACTTTTTTGTTTCGGCACTTTGACTATATCACCTCATTGCCTTCCGGCCTGAAAATTTTCTGGCTGAGATATCCTTTATGGTCTCACTGAGGATCCTTGTAAGTGACCAGAATTTCTGGCATTCAAGAATCTCTCTTGTCTTTGGTGGATTGATTATGGTGTGTCCCTGTGTGGTTCTCTGGAATCTTTTGAGCTCCTTGGAGTTATATCATCATGTCTTTCCTCAAATTGGAGTTTTCAGCTAATATTTTGTAAAAACAACCTCCCTGCCCTTTTATCTCTCCTTTTCTTCTAAGAATCCCATAATTCACATACTGTTCTGCTTGAGGGTGTTGTGTAAGTCCCTTAGGCTCTGTTCAGTTTTCTTTATTCTTTTATCTCCTCAGACCTGATCATTTCTGATAACCTGTGTTTAAGTTTGCTTTTCTTTCTTCTGCCTGTTTGAATCTGCTATTGAACTCCTCTAGTTAATTTTTTCAATTTATATATGGTATGTTTCAGTCCCAGAAGTTCCTTTGGTTCTCTTAAAAATAATCTCTGTTTCTTTGTTGATATTCTCTTTTTCTTCATGTGCCGTTTGCCTGGTTTCCTTGAGCTCCTTGAGCGTATTTACAACGGCTGTTGTAGATCTTGCTCTACTGAGTCTGGTGTGGGTTTCTTCAGATACTGCTTTTGGAGATTTATTTTGTTCCTTTGATGAGTCATACTTCCCTGTTTCTTTTTATGTTTGTGTTTTATTGGTTGAACATTGGGCATTTGAGAAAACAGACACCTATTTCAGTTTTTGCATGTTTTCAGGGGAACCCTCACTAATGAGTGGGCCCCTAAGCCCGGAGACCAGCCCAGCATGAAGGCTTAAGACCTGATCTTTTCTGGGCATGTGTTCTGTCTGTACCTGTGTGTGTGCGTCCTTCCCTACCTCCCTGGTTGCTTTCAAGTGTCTTTCATTCCCAGAGTCTCACCCCAGCTGCTTCTTGTGCCCTTAGATGCTCTTCATTTTCTTCTGCTTGTAATTCCTTCCCCCCAGGCATCCAAGAGTTTGTAGTCCCCTGGCAGGTTTCATATGCTGCAGAACCTGCCACTGCCATCTTTAGCATCCAGCCTCAAGTCCAAACTATGCTGACGATTCCTGTGTGAGCTCCATGTCAGACAAGACAGAAACCAGTACGTTGGGCAGAACAAGTTAGAACACTGTAAACAAGTTCCGTTTTGCTTCTTCCATCATGAGGGACCTGGGAGTTGGGACGCGTCCTCCTGACCACACCATGCTACACTGGGGTGGGGCAAGACCTTGTGAAAACATCATACAGTTTTGTACCATTTTGCATATGACTTTTTGTTTTGATTTGGTGGTCACTTGTTTGGTTAGACATTTGACTAATTTCCAGAGCTCCTATTATTTTATTTTAGTCAGTCTGGAGTTGTTTTTTTGATGTTTTCGTGGGAGAACAAGGGCCTAATGCTTCTTCCTCCACTGTCTTATTGATACTAATCTTTTGAGATTTTAGTTTTCAAATGGGATATTTTGCTAGTCCTTGGTGATGGGCATGGTGGGGTTGGATACTACGGTTGCCCTACACACTCAGCTCCTGGTTCTGTCTTTTCTCCCCAGTACAAGCGTGGGGGACCCATCATTGCCGTGCAGGTGGAGAATGAATATGGTTCCTATAATAAAGACCCCGCTTATATGGCCTACGTCAAGAAGGTGAGAGTCCTCGTGGTGCTTCTTTAGACTCCTCCCTCCGGAGTGTGTTGTGGGCTGTGCTGTGACGTGTGGGTCTTATATTTTTCTCACATTAATACATCCTCCAACATCATTTATTAGTGAATTTTCTCTGTTGTTTTATTTCAGCAGGGTTGTCACTTATTTACCCTTGATTGAGTTTCATCTGGGAATTTCAGTACATAACCTGGTATTGCAGGGGCTGGGAATAAAGGAATTGGCTTAATTGCATGGTGAGGATTAGGAAGGCTTCCTGGAGAGGCTGCTCCAATTCTAAAGTCTAAAGCGGTGGTTCCCAGCCCAGGCTGCATACTGGCTTTATCTGGGGAGTTTTAAGAAATCCCTGCGCCCAGGCCTTGAAGCGCCTCCTGCTATACCCCATTCCCGCAGCTTCTTGGCCCTGGGGCCTCTCAGCGGCTGTTGACTTAGTTACTCAGCTGCGGAGAGGAGAGTGCAGCTCCCGCAGGGAGTCCACTCATGCTTCCCTGGTGTCTGGGCGGAGGTACCCGTGTGTGACTCAGGTGGGCAAAGAGAAGCAGCAGCGTCCAGCCTCTGTGGTCCCGAAGCTCTTAGGAGCATTCCCCAGCCTCTCTCTGAGGCTGCTGGGAGAGTGGTGTGGGAGAAGAGGTGCCCACCCCTGGCCTGGCTCTGCAGATCTCTGGGGCTCAGGAGGGAGCAGTTACCCCCTGCGGGGTGGTGTCGGTAAATGAATACCCAGGAAGTGTTAGGTGTGTGTGTGTGGTAGGGACCTAAGGAAACGCTTGCAAAATATCAGTGAATGACAGCGTGAGGTGGTAGATACAGGGCTCTTGCTAAATCCCACCTGAGCTCATGGATTGAACTCTGCAGCTCCCTTGTGCCTGAGACAAGAGCCCCCTCTGCTCTTTCCTTCCCAGCATGTGGGACTGGCCACGAGCCTTATTCGCCCAGCACATATCTCCCTGCCTACCCACTTCCAAAAGATTTCAGCGGAAATAAACAGTCTTGGCCTGATATCGGCAGAGAAGATTATAGGAAGACCCCTCTGTGGGGGTTTCTGATCCAAAAGATCCTAGAGCCTCAGCACAAGCCTTTGGCTCGGGGTTCAGGCCCATGTTGCCATGGGCCCTGTAACCTGTGATGCTTGACTTCACCCCTCCGAGGTGCGTCTGTATTGTGAAGACATTAACTGTGAGGCTTGCCTAGGACAGTCTGTGTCAGGTGCTGAGCGGAAGGCCTGGCGCGGCAGTGACTGCCCTGTGGGTGTTGGGATGTTCTGAGTGGTTCTTGTCGTCACTGCCCCTCAAGCACAGCGTTTCTTCCGCTTCACTCTCGCTTTACAGCTGGGAGGATGCTTCCTGCTGTTCTGGACGTGGGACGTGCACCATGGGCACGTGACAGGGCATGGTGGGCCCTCCTGGGCCTTGCCATCCCCCAAACCCACACCGGCTAGCGTGGGGAAGGGACAGGCCTGTCGCTTGTGGTGTGAGTGAAGGGAAGGATGTAGGTGTCATCCTGGAGGCCTGACCTGCGTGCTGGAGCCCAGCAGACAGTGGCGGGTGACACGTGGCAGCAGCTTCCCTGAGCCGGCCTCAGTGTAGACTCGCCTAGGCATGCTAGCTGGCCCACTGGGCAGCTTCCAGATCCAGAGCCACCAGGGGCTGCCCCAGCTTGCCCGCCCTGCCCCTGCTGTGATGGGAATTGGTGCTGACTGGAGCTGTGCTGAGCATGGAGGTGCAGATGGCAGGAGGCTTTTCTGTGTTTGGCAGAGAAATAAACGCTTTATTCAGCATCTCTCCCTCCAGCTCTTTGGGCTACCCAGCTGCAGCTGTGTGTCCCTGCAGACGCTCTGAGGAGCCAGGGCAGATGTGGGCTTATCTCATTTCCCCCCACAGGCACTGGAGGACCGTGGCATCGTGGAACTGCTCCTGACTTCAGACAACAAGGATGGGCTGAGCAAGGGGATTGTCCAGGGAGGTAATTGCACTTGTTGGGCTGTGGGGGCTGGCGGCGGCCCTGGGCTGGCTGTGCACACTCTCCCTGTGGGACTGTGACCCAAGTAGGAGTTTCTGTGGTGCCTGTTATTCTCCCGTGCACGTGGCACTGGGCTGCAGAACCTTGGGTTCCATGAGTGGGGAGGGTCTGTGTGAGAGACCATGGTGCGTGGCCAGCTGGGTGGCTGTTCTCCCGCCCTGCTGGGCACGCGGGCTCCAAGGGCACTCTGCAGATGACTGCCTCATGTGTGGGCTTCCTGTTTTCGGAACATTGCAGCTCCGTTTTTCCCAGCTGCATGGGCCCCGAACCTGGTAGTGACTGTGAGCTCCTGTCCAGTCTGCCTGGCACCTAAGCCATTGTTAGCTTTATCTCCCAGTGCTCCTGGAATCCATACAGGCCTCAGCACTCACCTGCTGGCAGCACCCCTGGCCTGCATTGCTGCTGCAGCATTTTCACTGTTGCCTCCACAATGTATTCTCCGTGTGCCTCTGAAAATGTCGTCCAGATTACCCTACCCTGCTGAGCGCCCAGCGTCTCTGTCTCACTCAGAGTGCAGATTACCGTACCCTGCTGAGCGCTTGGCGTCTGTCTCACTCAGAGTGAATCGCAGGTTCTGGGAATGATCTTGAAAGGCCTCTCCACTTGGCCTCCAGGACCCAGCTGAGCTTACTTCCTGCTCCTTCCCTTTGCTCACTGTTTCCTCCTCTTTACTGTTCCTCCAGCATCCGGAGCCCCAGCCCTGGGGGCTTTGCTCTTCTTCCAGAGAGCTGCATGGCTGTTCTCTAAAGTTAGTGAGGTTTTTGTAGCACCACACTTGAAACTGAACTTCCTCCTTCTTGGGGCTCACTCAGTCCTTCTCCCTGATTTCTTTTCGCCCTCTCACATTGGGGGTAGTTTATTTATTTCATTGATCTATTTCACCCAGCAGTACTCTTGGCGGGGCTTGGGGTTTGGCTGGTTCAGCTGTGCTCAGGGGCCCAGGTGTGGTTCTGGCCTGGGTGAGCATAGTATCCTCCCATCGATGCAGCGGGGCCATTCCTGCGGCCTCCTGCAACCGTGCTCGTGTCTGCTCCGGCACATTCCACGCTGTCTTTTCTTTCTTCTGCATTCCTCCACAGACCGAGCTGCTGGAAGATGTCGCTATATCCCTGCAGCAGCGCCTGGCATGTGGCACCCAGGGAGTGAGTGCCATGGATGGGGAGGAAAAGGCTTTTGTCCCCAGGCAGAGTCCCTGTGTCTCCGGCCTGGGCAGGACCGCGGTGATTCCCACGGCTTCCACGCGGTGGCAGTGTCTCCCCACGGCCGCTTCCAAGGCCCGCTCCAGGCTCCTGCGCGGCTGTGGCTGTGCGGGGAGACTCCTTTTGACGCTGGGGCACATTTGTAGCGCTTGGCAGTCTCCCGGTTACAGGCCTTGCAAGGCAGCCGGGAGTCTCTACCCCTTTTCCCTGTGGCCCTCCCACCTCCAGGCACCCACCTGCGTGCCCCTGTTGCCACCTGCTGCCTGGAATAACTTCTTTTTTAATTAAAAAAAATTACATGGTCTAAAACTGAAATACTTGAAAATGTTGGTAGAGAAATATAGTGTAGCCGACTCTTCACCATATTGTCCAGAAATGACCATTTTCAAGTCTTTGGCTTTTTCTTTGGATATTTTCCTTCTTATTTCTAAATACCGTGAACATAGAGCCTGCATCATTTGCTTTAAAATTCTGCCCGTTGGCCGGGCGCGGCGGCTCAGGCTTGTAATCCCAGCACTTCGGGAGGCCGAGGCGGGCAGATCATCTGAGGTCAGGAGTTCGAGACCAGCCTGCCCTACATGGCAAAACCCCGTCTCTACTAAAAATACAAAAAATTAGCCAAGTGTGGTGGCGGGCACCTGTAATCCCAGCTACTCGGGAGGCTGAGGCAGGAGAATCGCTTGAATCCGAGAGGCAGAGGTTGCAGTGAGCTGAGGTGGTCCCACTGCACTCCCGTGGGCACCAACGTGGGCCTCCTGGATGTATGACAGGGGTTCACGGCAGGCACCTGCCACGTGGGTGATGCCCTGCACAGTATCTGTGAATCCTCAGGGTGCCAGCCGGCTCTCTTTGCAGTGTGCTTAGTTTTCAGTGTAATTATTCTGTTTGTTTTTCTTTTCATTTCAAATTCTCTTTCCTCCCCTCAACCCCGCCCCTCCCGTACTGCTTTCTCTTTTAAACAAATGCTTTGCCAGAGATGTCCCAGACGCCTGCTGCTGGTGTTTCTCAGGTCCTGTACCTGTCCGAGTCTGGCTGTCTGGAGGCTGGCTCTCGTTGTTCTGGCTTGCATGGTGAGGGGTCTGCTGCACGGCTTCATCCCGCGTGGAATACGTTTCCTGTCGCTCCATGGCTTCCCGGCACCCGCTGTTGCTGCGGCAGCACAGGACGCTCCAGTTCCCTAGCCTCTCCTGGGTCCTCTCCCTCCTCGCCCCCTGCCATGTTCCTCGGGGAGACCGCCCTCCCCTTCGGGTGCACATTCTGCGAGCTGGCACCGTTGCGTGGTGGGCGTGCGGGGTGTGCCTGTTCCACCGTCTTGTCCTCGGGTCTTTCGGTCATCCTGGTGTTTGTGTATTGGGAGCTCCTATTGATTGTCTACGTCTTTTCTGTTCTTTATCTCTTTGCCTTTCAGTTCTACTTTCTAGGTGACTTCCTGAACTTTTATCTTCCAGTCCTCCGGTAATTTCCTGAGTCACAATTTTCTTGAATATATTTCTCTTCTCATAGCATACTTTAAAAATGGACACTACCTTTCTTATTTCCCTCTGAGGGTGGTTTGCTTTTTACAAAAGTGCTACCTGTGCTCCTTTCCCCTGGTGCTGCCCGCGTTCCTTTCCCAGTGCTGCCCGCGTTCCTTTCCCTGGCACTGCCCGCGTTCCTTTCCCAGTGCTGACCGTGTTCCTTTCCCTGGTGCTGCCCGCGTTCACTTTTCTAGGGCTGCCCCTGTTCCTTTCCTAGCGCTGCCGGCGTTCCTTCCCCAGGCACTGCCTGGGTTCCTTTCCCTAGCACTGCCTGCTGTTTTCCTGCTGTCTGTTCCACTCCATCTCCTGTGCCAGGGGATGCTCTGGCTCAGCCCCTACCCAGCAGCTTAGGAAAGAGGCTCCTGGCTGCCACTCGGAGCTCTGGGTGGGAGAGGCTGTTGACAGGAGTTCTTCCCCCTGGGGTGACTGGGACGTGGTGGCTTTTTCAAGAAGGGACACTCACTTGTCGGAGTTTGGGGCAATGTCTTCCGCTGTGAAGTGTTTCTGGAGAAGTCCTGGGGTCTTGCGGCAGCTGTTCTGGGCCAGGCCGGTGGTGGACAGGAATGTGCTGTGGAGACTGCCTGCCTCCTCTTCCCGCCCTCCCCTCCACCTGCCACACACGCCTGCTCCCGCAGCAGCTCGGGCCCAGCGTTCTCAGGCAGGATGGCCCCCGAGGAGGGGGTGGGCCCAGGTGAGAACGAGGATCGAGGCTGAGGACGGGCATCCTCCCATCTCATGGTGATCAGGGCCTGGGGCTGGGAGTGGGATGAGGCCTTGGGCTGGAGCTGGAGCCGACTGTCACCCCTTCCGCAGTCCTAGACCATTTGCTGTCCCTGTGACCTTCTCAGTATTCCAGGATTTGCCAATGTCTCCTCTTGATGTTCCTCGTGGCCGTCTGCCTGTCCACCCTCCTCTCGTATTTGTGAGAGGTGTCAGGAAGGACAGGACTGAGATGCTTGTGTTCACTTAGCCGTGCACAGCCTGTGGACACTGCGTTCGGCCTGCTCAGGTTCAGACCGGCCTGTGGACCTGCGTTAAGGCTGCTCGGGTTCAGACCGGCCTGTGGACACTGAGTTAAGGCCTGCTCAGGTTCAGACCGGCCTGTGGACACTGAGTTCGGCCTGCTCAGGTTCAGACCGGCCTGGACACTGCGTTCGGCCTGCTCAGGTTCGGCCTGCTCAGGTTCAGACTGGCCTGTGGACACTGCGTTTGGCCTGCTCAGGTTCAGACTGGCCTCCTGTCTTCAAAGGGCTTCTGGCTTCAGGGAAGGGGAGGGGTCTGGGTGGAGGGTCCCACCCCGTGGGCTGCTGGAGGACAGGGACGGGGCAGGGCCATGGGGTGGTGTCGGGGGTCCCAGGTGTGCAGCCCCACTCTGCTGCTACCTTGAGGTCAATTACTGTGACCTAGAGGCAAGTTATTACACCTCCCCAGAGCCCCACCTGTCGCTTGCATTTCTTCACTGGCATCAGAGGCTTTTGTCCTGCAGCGGCGTGTCAGGGTGGCCCGGCTTGCCAGGCTGGCTCAGCCTCTCTCGTGTGTGCCTAGGCCTGCAGGAGCCCAGGCCGCAGCCGTGCCTGTGAGCTGACTGTTAGGCGGACAGTAGGCGGGTGAGAGGCCCCAGGGTAAGGCTGTGCCACAGGGGTGGGCGTGGGCATCCCCGGCTGTCGGCCAGACAGAGCACACCTTTCTCGAGCATATGTTTCACTGATAGAAAGCCACTGAAAACAGCGTTTTAAATTTTAAAAGGAACATGTTATGGGGTAGAATACAGAATTAGCCCTTATCAAGAAATGAGAGAGGAATCTTTGTTTACATCATTACCTTGGACCGGGTGCTTGGGGTGCCAGGGAAGGATCAGGCTCTGGTTCCTACAAAAGAACAAGGAACCGAAGTGCGCGCTTGGCTTGCAGAAGTCACCGTTGATCAAGGCCAGGTGCCCAGTGAGTGACTGCCCAGCTCTGTGCTGCTGTGGCGGGATCCAGGACAACAAGATCAGTCTCCTGGCTGACTTTTTATTTTATTTATTTTTGTGACACAGTCTCACTCTGGCACCCAGGGTAGGCTGCAGTGGCACAATCTCAGCTCACTGCAACTTCTGCCTCTTGGGTTCAAGTCATCCTCCCACCTCAGCCTCCCAAGTAGCTGGGATTACAGGCGTGCACCACCAACCCTGGCTAATTGTTTTTGTATTTTTTAGTGGAGATGGGGTTTCATCATGCTGGCCAGGCTGGTCTGGAACTCCTGGCCTCAAGCGATCCACCCACCTTAGCCTCCCAAAGCATTGGGATTACAGGTGTGAGCCACTGCACCTGACTGTGGCTGACTTCTAACTGGAGGTGGGAAACCATGTCAGGGCTGGTTACTTTATTGTGCTGGTGGATTGAGAAGGGTCTGGGGTCACTTAGAAGGTCCCTGGCTTTGAGACAATGCTTTGTCTCTCCCTCTCCTCTTCCCTTCAACAGTGTTGGCCACCATCAACTTGCAGTCAACACGCGAGCTGCAGCTACTAAGCACCTTTCTCGTCAACGTCCAGGTGAGTCCAGCCCCAGGGAAGCTGCCGCCCAGCCTGCTCAGTGGCCTGTGGGAATTCCAAATGCCTGTCAGCGTGCTCAGCTTCCCCAGTGCAGGGAGCTGGACTCAGGGCTGTTGGCCTCTTGACCCCTGGCCCATGCCACTGTGTGCCTGCAAGATCCGCTGCCCACAAACAGCTCTGAGGGCTGCTGTGTAGGCTGATGCAGTGTGGACGTCACTCACTGCCCTGAGAGAGGGGTCCTTTTGGTGCACTCCTGGAGGACTCGACTTTTGTGGCCTCAGTTAGCTGCACACTTGCTCCCAGGGATTGAGGGGGAAGAGAAACTTCCCTGTCCCATACTACACAGGCATCGGACCTTCACCTGTGAGGCCCCTGCAATCTAGAAAGATGACTGTCATCACCAAGGCACGAAGCCTGGTCCACTCCAGGTCTGGAGAGAGGGAGGAGTTTCCACATGTCCCTCAATATCTGTCAAATCGATGGACATTTACGCTGCACTGTAGTTCTGACTGACCTCTCTGTCAAGCGCGTGTGCCCCTCCGGAGCAGATGGATGGATGGGGCCATGCTGCCACCCTCTGCAGAGCTGAGAGGCCCTGGCTGTGCCCTGGCCCACTGCCCCTGTGCTGCATGGTCACGCTGGTCCTGGGCCTGGAGTGGAGCTGTGCTCGGATGCCTGTGGAGATGCTGGGCCGCTTTCCATTCTGGCTGATGGTCTTTCAGAGCAGGGGCTGTGTCCTCAGCACATCTGTGTGGAGCCACCACAGCCGTGTGGGGCCATGTGTGTGTTCGATGTGGCTCCTCCTGGGGTTCAGGTGGCCAGAGTAGGTGGGGAGGCTCCCAGGAGAAGATGGGAGGGCTGGCCCCACTCCCAGCTAGGCTCCTGTGAGGCAGGTCACGCGCGATCCAGCTGGGTCTCTGCCTTCCTTCCTCGACATTTCCGGAGTGCCTGCCGGTGTGTGTAGTGGAGTGGGGAGCCTCTCATGCTTCTGACTGAGATGACGGGGTTTCCTGCCCTGTGCTGTGTGACCTTGGGCACGTTACTTAACCTCTCTGTGCATCTCTTTCTTCTAAGTGGGGATGATGAGAGTACATTGCCTTATGGTGTCAACTCACAGGTGGTGTGAAGATTAAATGAGGTAATATTTGGAAAGTGCCTAGCACAGCAGCTGACACAGCAGAATGCCTTATGTTTACCTAGCCTTCAAGGTCATCCTTAGAGAGGTAGCCATGCCCGAGCCTTCCCAGGCCAGCTGTCCTGCTAACAGAATGGTCCTGCTGAAGGGTTTTATGTGCGCAGTCCAGAGATGTCTGTTTTCATTAAGGAAGGGGACTTGGACACCTCCCTGTTTGAATCAAGGGCTCTCTGAATACACAGCGCAGGCCCCAGGTGTGCTCCACGTGGCGATGTCTGATAGCACCTCACTCCCCCTCCGCGCCCGTGACCGGTGACGGGGATAACTATGCAAGTGTTTCCTGAGCACCTCCGACCTGCCAGGCCGTGTGCTGAGGGCGTTACGTGCACTCTCATCTCATTCTCCCAACAGTCATGTGAGCCAGTGAAGGAGATGGCCATAGAGTGTACAAGGCACCCTGTAAGTAGTGACCTGGGGACTGCAGCACAGTCCCACTGCAGAGCTCCAGCTCGTAGCCAGTTGTGCAGTGCAGTGGCCTGGCACGTGGGTGGACACTGGTACCCCCAAGCCAACAGCCTTGCTTCTGGCATGGGAGATTTCTGACTTGCGGGACTTTGAATCCGCCTCTCCCTTTTTAGTGATTTAAACGTGGTATATGGTGTGTCTCCTTCTTGGAAGGCAGGTGTCTTGTAAAGAAAACCAAGCCACCAGTCTTGCTAAAAGAATTCTCGTAACTACTCTGGCTTTAACCTGGGTGTGGCTGGTACCTTCTACTCAACGGACTGTAAGTTTGTCCCGTCCCCCTGGATCAGATGTTGTTGCTGCGTATGCAGTAGCGCTCTAAACATGAGGCCATCACTGACCTAGAGATACTCGACAAGCTGTCACTGGATGAGTGAGGAAGACTGTGTCACACAGAGCCTGAAATACTAGCACGTTAGTCTTTACACCTCCCCCAGGTGCTCTGGGCTTCTGCAAACATGGCAGAGTGGTCATGGTCCCAGGAATGATCTTGGCCTCCTTGGGGCAGTCCTATGCCAAAGTCAGTATTCAGAAAGAAGATTTAAGATTTGTTGAGTGGCCCAGCCAAGGTATAAATCCAAACTGTTGGTACAGAACCTGCACCATGAATAGCTGTGCTGTAAGGCCCTGATTTTCTGGTTCAGAAAATGCTGCTGTTTAAACTGAGTTGGACCTTGAAGAGGGCCCACTCGTAGCATCTGATTATTCTGCTAATGGAGCCAATACCCTGGGGGTCTGTATCCACAGTAAACCTCCCAGATACGGAGTTGTCCTGGGTAGAACATCCCTCTTCCCTGGAAGAGGACAGGCAAAGCTTGGCTTGATCCAGAACCAGTGTCTTCTTGCTAACATGTATACAACATTAAAACCATCAGGGTTTGCCGTAGCGACTTTGGGAGCTTTATCTGCTCTGTACCTGCACGTGTGGCAGGAGAACTGGTGTGCAGGTGAATTTGGCCGTCACCTATGCCCCACCTCCAAAGACCTCTAAGGCAGTGGGTATGCAGCCAGGGAAGAGTGGAGAGGGCAGAGATCCTGGGGCTCCCCTCCACGAAGAGATTCCCTCTTTTGTGCCTGGCCAGCCTGCTTGTCTAACTCTCTTTTTGTGGTGTCCAGGGGACTCAGCCCAAGATGGTGATGGAGTACTGGACGGGGTGGTTTGACTCGTGGGGCGGCCCTCACAATATCCTGGATTCTTCTGGTGAGTGTGTGCAGTTACTACATCCAGCATGTGTGCCACTTAAGAAGTGAGGATGAGTTTCAGTCACCGGCTAACGAATGTAGGTCAGCCATAGGGGTGCAAGGCTGCTGGGATTATCTGTGTGCAGAAGTTGGCTCTGGATATTCCTGAGTCATTTGCCTTGACACTTTGATGAATGGGAGGGCTTTTTAGCATTGCTTGTTCGTGTTTTTGTAATTAGAAGGGTAACGCATGCCTATTGCAAACATCCAGAAAATACAGAAAAAGTATAGAGAAGAAATAAAATTCCCAGAGCCCAGAGACAACATTTAGATGTACACCATGTAGGCAGTTCTCTGTGTATCTGTACCGACAGCTGTGTACGCACACACAGAGACAGATGCAGCCACGCTCCACTGCATGGCACCTGCTTGTACCGGTGAATGTGGTGCATGCACATACGGACCCCTTTCTGTATGACCAAATACAGACTTACACGACTGCTTTAAAGAATGTGAAGAGCCCCGTTCTAACCCACGCTTCGTGGACACAGTCTCTCGGGCTGTTTCGGGTGGTTGTTAAGCGCACGCCATCTAGGTGAGCGTCCCGGAGCCCGCGCTCTGCGCACCTGGCGTTCCCGGTGGCCCTCAGCCCCGGAGAGACGGCGGCTTCAACCGCTGCTGCCAAGTGGATGCACCCATTTCCCACAGATTCAGCAACGCTGAGTATTAAAATAACTTTTAATATTGGTCTACTCAGTACATCATTGTTTAGTCTGCATTTCTTTGATTTATATTAATGAAATATATATTTATTAAACCATTGGTTTTTCTCCTTTGCTATGATCTTGTCATGTCATGGTTGATTTCCTAACAAAGGCAGAACAGGGGAGGTGTCAGAGTTTTCTCTCTAGGGTTGCATCCATCTGTGTGCATTTGATACACCTGGTCGGGCAGGCTCACATGGAGATCGCGCTGGCTGCAAGGCCCTGGCCGCCCTGGGCTGCAGGTGGTCCACATGGAGCTCAGAGACTTGACCAGGATTTACAAACAACTGGAGGCTTGAGCTCTGGGGCCATGATTCTGGCCCACACGTCCTCCACCCCTAATCTTCTGTGATTGGTGTTTTAGTGAGAGCTAGAAGGACAGAGTGACAACGTTGGCCTTGAGGTGGGACTGGGCAAGAGGAGAGTAGTGAAGGGACCCCAGCTCATTTCAGACTTTAACTCACTCTGCACATCCCCTTTCTCCCTCCTCCGGCAGAGGTTTTAAAAACTGTATCTGCCATTGTGGACGCCGGCTCCTCCATCAACCTCTACATGTTCCATGGAGGCACCAACTTTGGCTTCATGAATGGAGCCATGCACTTCCATGACTACAAGTCAGATGTCACCAGCTATGGCAAGTATTCATCAACACTGCTCTCCCTGGTCTGCCGGGCATGGGCATGGCTGGGGCTTGCTATGGAGAGGCCTTCAGGGTCAACTTCTGGCACCGTCAGTGTCTTTGGCAATGGAGTACCTGGAGAAGGTAGGGGCTTTGCCTGGACGGTCACGTTACACTCCCAGAGGAGGGAAGCCTCAAGGCAGGTGGTGTGCCTGTGAGCTGGCCACTCTACAGAAAGGCCTCTTTGGCAGAGGTGGCCTCCCCTCCCTGCCCAGGCCCTTGAGGAGGTGTGATCCTGCCCCCTTTAGATTGAGAGTTCCAGAAAGTAGAAATTACACCTGCAGCTAGAAATTTAGGCCCATGCTGTGATCATGGATAGTTTGTGTTTTTTGAATTTGTGAGAGTGTCACTCTGTCACCCAGGCTGGAGTGCAGTAGCGTGATCATAGCTCACTGCAGCCTCGAATGCCTGGGCTCAAGGGATCTTCCTGCTTCAGCCTCTTGAGTAGCTGGGACTACAGGTGTGCACTCCAACCCCTGGCTAATTTTTAAATTTTTTTGTAGAGGCATGGTCTTGCTATGTTGCCCAGGCTGGTCTGGAACTCCTGGCCTCAAGTGATCCTCCTGCCTTGGCCTCCCAAAGTGCTGGGATTACAAGTGTGAGCCGCTGCGCCCAGCCTTATGGACACTTGTTGTAGTTGCATGGTCTTTCGTGTTTACAGCATTTTGACTGAATGGCTCAAAAGTGTCTTGCCTCCGCAATGGCTGAGATGAAGACCTGCGGCCCTTCTGAGCTTCTCCCTGTTCTTTGTGCTGCCACATGTGCTGTGCTGGGGACAGGAATGACCATGACAGGGCCCGGTGTCTTGCAGACTATGACGCTGTGCTGACAGAAGCGGGAGATTACACGGCCAAGTACATGAAGCTTCGAGACTTCTTCGGCTCCATCTCAGGTACCCAGAAGACAGCAGACTCAAGTTCCAACTCAGGCCCTTGCTTCTGCTCTCAGTTCCCGAAAGAGTTACTTCCTTACTGTCCCACCTGGACTCCAGTTGATCTGTGTGTAAGAATGTTATAGACAAGGACAGGGAGGTGTGTGAGGCTGTATCCATCTTGCCGACTTCACCTGTTCCAGGTGTTAAGGCTCCTTATCTCCTGTGGAGGATGGGAGAATGCCCCTGGCCTTCCTCCCCTGGCCTTGGCAGGTGCTGAGAGCTGGCCTGTTGTTCCTCGTGGTGCTGGGATGCAGGAGCACATTGGGTCTGTGAATGGGAGCTGGGCGGGGAGGACAAGCAGACGGTGACATTTGGGTCCCTTGGGGATGACGCTGTTGTCTGTGTGTTGCAGGCATTCCTCCCCCTCCCCCACCTGACCTACTTCCCAAGATGTCGTATGAGCCTATAACGCCAGTCTTGTACCTGTCTCTGTGGGATGCCCTCAAGTACATGGGGGAGGTGAGTGCTGGGGGCAATCGTGGGTGTAGCAGGGGTGTGGGGAGAGGAAGGCCAGCGCCTCGTAACTTTGAGGTCCGCTCTCCAGCCTTGGAGCTCGGAGTGAAGAGGACAAACTCATGCTAGAGTGTGAAGTGGGGAGAAACAAAGGCCCCTGAGGAACAGCGGGTGGCCCTGTGAACCGTTCCTTCCTCCAGCCTCAGAGAGGAGAGTGAGGGGCAGAGGAACAGGGGGTGCCTCCTCCAGTGGCCCGAGGCTGTGACGCGTATCCCCTGCCTGTGGACTGCACTCGGCCGGTGCACACCCCTTTGTCCCACCCTCTACCCCATCACTCTGCAGAGCTGTCGGTTTAGTGCAATGAGAAGTCAAAGTAGAAACACCTGCCAAACCCCTGCTTCCACCCCACGTGCCAGCCCCCAGGCAGAGTCTGTCTGTGACCCCGCTCCTCCTCAGCCTGCCCCCCCGCCATCTCTTCTGTGTGCAGCCAATCAAGTCTGAAAAGCCCATCAACATGGAGAACCTGCCAGTCAACGGGGGAAATGGACAGTCCTTTGGGTACATTCTCTATGAGACCAGCATCACCTCATCCGGCATCCTCAGCGGCCGCGTGCGTGATCGGGGGCAGGTAGGAGCTTCTCTTCTAAATTCCTGCGACCTTCTGATGAGCAGCCCTGCAATACGCGTCTCATTCTGTCCCTCAGAATCAGCTATTACCAGCTGTAAATATGGCCCTTCCGAGTCAGCTTTGCGAGTCTTCATGGGGGCATTTGTTTCTGTTCTGCCCGCTGGCCCCCTGTTTGCCCACAGGCATGCGGTGCTGCCCTTCTTGGCCTAGCGGAGGTCCCGCGTACCCTCCTCCTGTTGGCCATGGATGCTCCTGTCTGTTCCCTTTGGCAGGTGTTTGTGAACACAGTATCCATAGGATTCTTGGACTACAAGACAACGAAGATCGCTGTCCCTCTGATCCAGGTTCATTGTTTTTGGGCGCTGGGTGAGGGCTAGCCCCGCTGCTTCGAGGAGGACGGGGGGAGTCACCGAGGAAGACTTGGGAGACCCGTGGCTCCTTCCCCACAAGCTGCAGGTGGAGAGGGCGAGCGCGGCTTTCTGCCCAGCTGGGATGTGCACTCCCATTCCCAGAGTGTAGGGAAGAACTGGGGTCCACAAGCACATTCTGAGGGGCAGCTGTGGCCTTCCAGTAGTCATCGTTAGCCCCGTGTTGCTGGCAGGGTTACACCGTGCTGAGGATCTTGGTGGAGAATCGTGGGCGAGTCAACTATGGGGAGAATATTGATGACCAGCGCAAAGGTGGGTCCGAGAACGTGTGGAAAGAAGAGTGGCCATGCTGGACACATGTGGCTATTGCTTCTCTTGCCAGCAGCCACCAGGCCGCGGAGGCCCCTTGCCGGGAGGTGGAGACTGGGTTGTCCCGTACATGAAGCCAGTTCTGAGTGGGCCAGAGAAGCTCCGCTGGGCTGTGGCCCCTGCCCCGTTAGCACTGCACATGTGCATTGTCTGCGTGCTTATGATAAACACAGTGAACACTGAGCTGGCCTGGTCTCCCCTGGGCTGCAGTCGGTTTCCGCAGGGATGTCTGCCTGGGGGACAGCGGTGAGGAGCAATGAATGTGATTTCCAGGAATCCAAGGAAAGGCACAAGACCCCTGCCTTCTTGGGCCTCCACACTGAATTTCTCTTCTTGATCCATCTTGGGAAACCCATAGCTTATCTCGGATGTGGCGCGGGGAGGACGCGGCGCGAGGAGGATGTGGGACATACAGCAAACAAAACGCCTCTTGGTAGCGCACCCCTCTGGCAGCACACCCCTCTGGGAACAGGCTGCCAATTTGCTTTATGTTTCCTGGCCTACTAAATCTTTTATGTTTTAATTTAGCCCTTCCTTTTTTAAACAACTCTAGCTAAATGTGGGTGGTTTCAGGTAAGTTATAAAAAAAGAACTCAGAAAAAAATGAATACGACTGTGGTGAGCAGCACTGGTGACCTCCCAGTTCTCTCGCGGTGTCTGCGTTTAATGGAGGAAACGTGAAGGGCTCTTTTTTGGTCCACATTTCATCCGACAGCTGTCTGGCGGCCTGCCAGGAAAGCGACATGGCCCAGACACTGGAGCCTGGATCCTGGGGATCAGGGCCTCTCCAGATGGGCCTCAGAGCAGCATCTAGACCATCCAGGCCTGCACTCCTTCACCCTAAACAGCTCCCTCTCTGGACCTGTCCTTCCGTTGTTCTCCTGGGGGTTGGAGGGAGCAGCAGCCTGACCATTGTTCCTAACTTTGCTTCCCTGAGCCCTTGTTGAGGGTCCCCTGGGCCCACACTGTGGAGTCCTGTCCTCCGGATCACAGTTAAATGTTTTAAGTCACAGACCTCCCTTGAGAAATGTGTGTGCCCAGACACCTGCACCTGCCATTTCAGAGTCTAGGCCCCGCGAAGCCTCTCCACAGTCCCCAGCCTCTGAATCCCCAAGCTAGCCACCCAGCAGCTCCGTGTTCTAAGACTGGCAGGGCTGGCCCAGCCCCGGGACACTGATGAGTGGCTCCTCAAGGGTCACAGCTCTTCCCTGTTGGATGCCTGAGTGAGGGTGCCATCTGCCCACAGTCCATACTCCTGATGCACAGCTTTAATCCTCGGTGGCATAGGTGACTCCTGGCTGAGTTATTGCAGCTAGGCCGGAACCCTCTCAGTCATCTGGAACTTCCTTCAGAGAGAGGCCAGAGGCTGTTCTCCCACTGCAACACCTCAGCTTTATATCCTTCCCATGGCAAATCCTAGGGATTTCCTCCTCCTCACGCCCCATAGAATTGCTAGGGAGCCTTGCTTGCCAGCGAACAGCTTCTCAGGGAGCGTACACTTCAGCACTCCTCACCCCGGCGTCCCAGGGCTTCCCCTTGTGGCCCTGGCCCAGCAGACTTGGCCCCTGCCTTTGGGCTACCCACATGTTCTGCCTCCTTCCCACAGGCTTGATTGGAAATCTCTATCTGAATGATTCACCCCTGAAAAATTTCAGAATCTACAGCCTGGATATGAAGAAGAGCTTCTTTCAGAGGTGGGTCCCTGCCCAGTGCCAGCAGGTGCACTCACAGGTTCGCCACTGTGCGGCAGGCCCCAGGGTCCCTGGTGCACCGTAGCCTGGCCCACACCCAGGTGTGAATGGCCCCAGGGGCCAGATCGACTGGCTGAGGCGAGGGGTGGCACCCGCACTAGAAGCCGGGTTTGCAGACTGGGAATTCCCAGCACCTTACCCTGCTGCTATGCTGTGTCCTGGTTAAGGGTGGGGGGGCCATGGATGGGGAATTAGCTGCAGAACTGGGACCAGATCTAGGGAAGGTCCTCCTCCGTCTCCTGCCCTGTGCTCTATCCTTAGGTTCGGCCTGGACAAATGGAGTTCCCTCCCAGAAACACCCACATTGCCTGCTTTCTTCTTGGGTAGCTTGTCCATCAGCTCCACCCCTTGTGACACCTTTCTAAAGCTGGAGGTTGGTAACCCCCTTTCCCTGCCGGGTTCTCCTACGTCCCTCCCGCCTTGGAGGGCTCTGAGCCAAAGCCACATGAGCTTGGCGAGAGCCCTTGGTGGCTTCTGTGCCCAGAGGGTCTGAGAGGGCTGCTGGAGACTCCCTGGGCCAGGGGAGTGGGCTCACAGCAGAACCACCTCATGCTTCCCACGTGCAGTCTGAGCTTGGGGGCCATGCCTGAGAGGCGTGGCAGTGGCACTAGGGGCACAGGAAATAGAGCATCCCATCTGCTCACCCTCATGGCTGTCCAGACACAGCTCGCTTTGGTCTTCTGGACCTGAGAGAAGCACGCATGGTGTATGTCTCCCTCCACTTTTGCTGTGGCTCTCATGGTAGATAAACACCCTTCCCACTCTGTTTCAAGGGCTGGGAGAAGGGGGTTGTATTCATCAATGGCCAGAACCTTGGACGTTACTGGAACATTGGACCCCAGAAGACACTGTACCTCCCAGGTCCCTGGTTGAGCAGCGGAATCAACCAGGTGGGAGCTTCCGGCCCCTTCCTGTTCCCCAAGACGCCCTGCCCACCTGCCCTCCCAGGGAGCCTTCCCTCAGGGTGGAGGGTGTGCCAGCGGGTTCTTCCTCCCTCCTCCTCGCTGCGGACGAGTTGTTGGTCCCTGTCCCTTCCAGCCTGGTTCCCAAACCCTCTCCTTCTGACCTTGCCACCTCTCAGCACCTCCCCTGGCACCAGGACAGACCTCAGCTGCCCTCCCAGCCAGGCCCTCTCTCCACAGGTCATCATTTTTGAGGAGACGATGGCGGGCCCTGCACTACAGTTCATGGAAACTCCCCACCTGGGCAGGAACCAGTACATTAAGTGAGCGGTGGCACCCCCTCCTGCTGGTGCCTGTGGGAGACTGCCGCCGCCTCCTGACCTGAAGCCTCGTGGCTGCTGCCCCACCCCTCCCCTGCAACCTCAGGGACTGGGGGCTACAGTCTGCCCCCACCTAAGCTCCAAACCCTGAGCCTACAGGGAAAGGTGGGACGGCTCTGGGCCCGGCTTCGTTGATGATGCCTTTCCTGCAGCCCTGCTCTTGTGCGAGGCTGTCAGGCTGTCTCTAGGGTGGTCTCCAGGGTGGGAGCAGCTAGTCAGATGGCCAAGCCTTTGGCCCTCAGAGAAAGTCTGAAACACGCCCCTGCGCTGGAAGTCACAGCCCTGCGAGCATCTGCTGGACTCAGGCGTGCTCTTTGCCGGTTCTTCGGAGGCTTGGTCACATCCCTCACAGCCCCTTTTTATCCCCGAAATGCTGGGTGTGTCACCAGTGTAGAGGGTGGGGAGGGGATGTCTCACCTGAGCTGACTCTGTTCTTCCTTCACAACCTTCTGAGCCTTCTTTGGGATTCTGGAAGGAACTCAGCGTGAGAAACACGTGACTTCCCCTTTCCCTTCCCACTCGCTGCTTCCCACAGGGTGACAGGCTGGGCGAGAAACAGAAATCCTCAGCCCTGCGTCTTCCTGAGTCAGCGAGTGTCTCTGGTGTTCAGTGAGGATGACATGTGGGTCCTGGCAGAAGCCATGGCCCATATCTGCACATCCAGGGAGGAAGGACAGAAGGCCCAGCTCAGTGGCCCCCGCCCCCCACTGCCCACGCGGAGCAGCAGGGGCGGAGCAGCCTCCTCCGCAGTGTGTCCACCTCCATGTTTGAACCTTGCTCTGGGGCTCAGCCCAACACCTGGCTCGAGCTCCCTGTCCTGAGTTGCAGTAAAGCTGTAGCGTTGAATCACACCCCCTCTGGCGATAGTCTCCAGTCATGTGTGCCACTCGCGCCAGAGGGGAAGGCTGTGTGAGAGCTTCGTTTTCTCGGTCGGGTTCCCATGGGGCCCCATTTGCCGCTCAGGGGTCCAGACGGGGACCGTCCCTGGGGTGGGTGGACCATGATCCTGGCCTCATACTCCCCTCCTGACCCCGACTCCCCTTAAAATGTCGCTGGATTGGAAGTGCCCTGGAGAGGACAGGTCAAATGCAAATTCATTCTCATGCTGGTGGGCGGGGGTAAGAATCTGCCAGGCAGTCAAGGGCGCTACATATGAGTTAACTGCGGGGTTGAGTTTTGCTTCACAAACTACATCTGGCATCTACTGCCAAAACCAAATTATCTCCAGTAACAGAAAGTCAAGTAGCACACACATCCCCTGCACGGCAGGAGCTCTGGGAGCCCCGTGAAGGTGGGCTGGGGGATGGCGAGCCGTGGAGCTCACTGAGGCCAGCAGGCTTGCTGCCCGTGCGGCTGCCCAGGGGGAGGTGCAGGGGACATTCGTGATGTGCAGCCCAGCAGCTGAGCCAGGTCAAGGGCTTATTAAATGGAGCTTGTTAAAGGGAAGCATGTGGACAGTGGCTTGGGGACAAGATGAGGCAGAGTCCCTGGTTTTGCCCAAACTCACCAGTTCTTCTGGAACTGCCTTGGAACGACAAGAATGGAGCTAAGATGTGGCTGAGACCGGGCTACTTGGGTGTGGCCTGAGCCAGGTGCAGGGTCTTCTGCCCTGCTTTACCTGGGTGTGTGCTTCTGCAAAGCTGTGTATGAGCTGGGTTCTGTCAGAAAGTGATGGAACTCGAATGGAAGGGAACCTTCCTGCAAATCCTCCTGTAAAGTGGATCACACTTCCACGAAGAACTGAGCAGGACACACTGTGGTTTCCTAAGGTGAGGTCTTCCTACACCAGCTTCTTATTCTTGCCCTTCTTTTTTGCCAGTTGACTGCTCGGCTTCTCTATCAAAGCACCTCTTGGCAGAGCTTATTCTCCAGCGTTGACTAAAGATTTGTCCATATCTTCCACATGGTATGGCCTCTCATCTAGGTCTCTTTGGAGGATCCCTCTTCATATCCAGCCTCTGAATACTGGGGGTCTCTGGCCCACTCCTTGGGCTGTTTCTTTCCTCTGTCCACACTCACTGCACAGGGTCTCACCCGTGACACCTGTGGCTTGTAAACAGGTTTGACACCCGCGCCTGCCGATGCCGGCCTGCACCTGAGCTCCAGGCGCGTGGGGGCTCCTTTTCTTCTGCATGTGTCTAACGGGTACCTGACACAGAGCTCCGTTTCCCCACATTACCCCTCCTGCACGCAGCCCCGTATCTGGAAACGGCAGTGCTGTTCTGTGTCTCGGGCTATTTGGGACCCCTCTCTTTATCTCCCACATCCAATCCAGCAGCAGATCCTCCTGGCTCTGCCTCCTAAACTCGTTCAGAATTTGACTGCTGCTTTCTGCCCCAACCCCATGCCCCTACTCAGCCCACTGCATCTTGGCCTAGATGATTGCAGGAGCCACGTCTCCACCTGTCCTTGCCCTCTCCATTTATCCTCTGTGCAGGAGCAGGGCAGTTCTTCTGAGAGATGGATAGATTATGTTAGTCCTCCGTACTGGACCCCCCATTGCCTTCTGGTTTCACCTGATGCCTGAGGACTCCCTCCTCCCATCCCCACCGCGTCCCTCACTGCTTGCTCCAGCAGTCCCCACCCAGTCGGTTGAGCCTTGCTGCTGATCTATAAGCAGGCTGAGCAACGCTTGCTCCACCTACTGGAGAGTTCTTTCTTCTTGGACCCAGGGAGCTGCATGTCAGGGTGTTGCTGCTTTGCTCCAATGTCACCTTATCAGGGAGGCCTTTCTGGCCACCCTACAGAGCACTGACCCCTCTCTACTGTTACCCTCTGTCTCCCCAACTCAGCCTCATTCTCCATACAACAGATTGCATCTGAAATAACACGTATTCGTTATTGCTTGTCTCGTCTCGTCAGTAGGTCAGTTCTGTGAAAACGAGAGCCTTGTTTTTTGACTGCTGTGTTCTGGCTCCTAGAATAATGCCTGTTCATAACAGGCACCTGATAAATACTTGTTGGGTAGCTAAATTAATAAATGACAGTAAAATAAGGCAGTGCTGAAGAGGATTAGGACTGTTAAAAACTGTATTTGACTTTTAATTTTGAAAGCAAATTAAATACAGTTAAATTAAAACAGACCAGATGCAGCTGCCTGGGTGCCACCCTCACCCCAGCCTCTGTTCTTGGAACTCCTAGCCCCTGGCCTCACTCCTGTGTGGTGGGGTTTGCCAGCGAAGGAGCAGGGAACAGACTGGGTTTGGAAAACAGTCGTCATCATGGACCCATTTCTGATTTATAACAAACTCATTCCCAACAAGGATGAAGGCTGCAGTCCACCAGGGTTATAATTATAAATAAATATACATGCAGCTAAAAGAGGATATTAGGTGAAAACAACTGACCTAGCATCTGCCAAAAGAAGTCCCCATTTTGTTGTTCATTATCAATTTCCTGAAAATGAACCCTGGGTTTTTGGCTAAGAAGGTGGCCTCAGACCAGCCAAGCTGACCTTGGCACTCGGCTGGCTTCTGTGAGTGAGGCAGTGGAGCGCCCACACATAAGTTCACCACCTGTGCCCACCTCCTCCCTTCTCTCCCATGCCACCCCACTTGCTTCCAAGGGCTTGGTTTCCAAAGTGACATTCAGGGTGTAAGAGGTTGGGGAAAACGTCCTGCAAGGTGGCTCAGGGATCTGATTCCATCAGATGGTCTCATGAATACTGTGGGAGATTAAATCCATCTCAAAATAGGGAACCAATGCTATATTCTGCATGTTAGGTCTCTGGACTGGGTCCCACCCACCCACCCACTCAGGAGTGGGTTCTGAATGGCCCTCAGACCTGTCCTGGTGAGTCTTAACGGGGTGGGAGGCTGTTAGTTAAAAAATAAACACCTCTTCAGTAGGCTGGGGCCCCTTCCTTTTCCTCCACTTGGGGGGAAAATTGTGCTTCCAACTTGCAGGAGAATGAGCCAGATCACCACCAGAGAGCCCGGCCGGCCAGCGGGAGTCAGAGCCCTTTCCAGCGGGCCTGGGAGGCCTGGGGAGGGCAGCAGCTTGAGACACACTGTTCTTCCTCTAGGGTGGAAAGTGGACAGCTGGACATGAGGTGGGCTAGCTTTGCATGCTCCTGACTTAGGGAAAAGTAACATTTTCTTTCCCTTTTTTGTGTTTAGAATAATTTCCAAAGCAGTGTGCTCAGGCCTCCCTCCTGCTCAGTGTCCCACCAGCCCCTGCCCTCTTTTCCCCAGTCCCTCTGCTACTCCAGAGTCCCTCCTCCTCAGACCGGGGGCAGGAGAGAGTTAGCCCTTGGCCTCCCTCCTTTTTCCAGGCTGCAGGAGGTCCCACCTTGCACGCCACCCACCACCTTGCCCACCTTGCCCACTGCCCACCACAGACAGGCCCACTGCACCCTGAGGTCTGTGGCTCTGAAGAGCTGCAGGAAAAGGCGCCTCCCTCCCCAGTCCAGTCCAGGTGAGGGGCTGAGCAGCCGAGGTGGCCGGTGGGGAGGCAGTATGTGCAGTGGGGCCGTGGGGTTCTTAATCCAGGTCAGGCAGTGACCTGTGCTGGCTCTAGAGCCCACCCCTTTGCCAGTGCTGGAGGAGAAGGGGTAAAGAAAGAGGGGCCGGAGGAGGGGACTCTGCTCCTGCCACAGCCTGAGGTACAGGGGGTGCCTATTAGGCCCAGTTCCCCCCATGCAGGGCTGGGTGCCTGTTGGGATCAAAGACGGCCTTATGCTCTGTAAACATGAACCAGAGGAGAGCCACAGAGGTATGTCTGATGTGGGGGCAGCTCTCGGGAAGAGCAGGGACCGAGGAGAGGAGCAGAGCACTCATGATGCCCGTGGGCTGCTCTCTGGTCTTCAGAATTCCCTGGCTGGGTGTCCTGTGTGGTAGTGCTGGGCCCAGGGACAGGGAGCCAGGGAGGGCCACGCTCCACGTGACTGCAGGGTCTTCTCATCTCCCTCCCGCCCTGCATCACTGCAGGGCCAGTGTGGGTGCCCTCTGCGCCTGCTCCTGCAGCCCCGTCAGTGCAGGGAGCTCTGGGGAGGTGCGCTGGGGCACCGGCTTGGCTGGTGCTGGACACCCCACCCTGGCCATCAGGTCTCTCGGGCCCTGGTCACGCTGGTTGGAGAGAACAACAGGTCTGGGATTTCTGTGCTTAAATTCTCTGTCCTTTGTCCTGGCATCAGGCTGGGCTCTCAGAAGCCCCCAGAATAGAAAGGAGGGTGATGGTGATTCCTTAGGAGTCGGCCTTGGAGGGACCATCAGCCGTGGGGAGAGGATGGAAGGCCAAGAACAGGGTCTGAGGAGGAGGCTCCTGTGAGGGGAGAGGAGGAATGAGTGAGGTGTCAGCTGAGGATGGGGCTGGAGAGGGAACGGCCAGGCAGGGCCACTAGGACCTCTGCAAAGCCCAGGCCCCCAGGTCCTGTGGGGGCCTTTCTGGGGGGCAGGTGGGGAAGGCGCTCCAGTGAGGGCAGTGAGGGCCCAGTGAGGGCAGGAGGCAGGAGGCAGGAGTGAGGCTCTGTACAGACGCCTTCTAAGTGGCACTGGCCAAGGTGACTGAGTGACGCCCTGTGGTCCCCTGCAGGCAGGGGATGCAAACATGATACAGAAGCTGTTGCTTAGCTCCAGGGCAAGAGGACAAATGTCGGTCTCAGGCCCCAACCTCTGTTTGGCATAACCTAGAGCAGGGAGTCTGGAGTACCAGCTGCTTTGAAGAGACAGAATAAGATCACAGAAAAGCCCCTGAAAATGTCTGGCTTTGCCAAGCACCCGGCACAATTCACTTGTGCCACCTTGGAACATTCATCTAGCTTCTCTCAACATCATTTTTTTGCCTCTGAAGTGTAGGTGGATCCTGTGGCCTACTTCCAGAGAAGGCTTTAAAGACTCAAATAAAAATAGCCACACTGATGAGACTTATGTGCCATGAACTGTTCTAGGTGCCCTCAGCAACCTACTTCACAGATGAAGAAACTGAGGCCCAGAAAAGTCAAGTCAGGTCAAACAGTGAAGAGCAGGGGTCCTGGGAGCTGAGGTGGGCTCTGGGTCCGTGCTGTCACTCTGTGCTACCTCTCACTGTGACAGCCGTGGCTCGTTGCTGTGGAGCAGCGAGTCCGTGAGTCCTCGCCATGGCCACGTGGTGAAGGAATCCACAGGGGAAGAGGCAGACTTGGGGGGCAGACCCTGGCCAGCGAGAGTCTGAATGGCAGTGCCTTATGGGGTGCAGGCGTCACTGCCAACAGAACAATCAGCAAGGTGTTTGCAAGGCGACGCCCTCTGAAGAGTCTGGTGGCAGTGAAGGACCCAACTGTGTGGGTGAAAGTTAATGCCTGGGGACTTTCAGGTGGCCCAGTGGGAAGGGGACCGTGGTGAGGACTCCCCTCCTGCCCACATTTGCTGTGTCCTCCACAATGAAAGCCCAAGAGGAAAAGCATAAGACAGTTGATTTGGCCCAACCTGGTGCTGTTCTGCCCAGTGTGTGGCCCACCCTCGTCATGCCCATACCTGCATCCTGAAGCTCAGATCTCCACCGAGGGGTCAGTGAAGCCCTTCTTGCCCTCATTCACCAGCACTGGCTTCTCTGTCCGTGTGTGCCACACCAGGATCTGTGTGCCCAGAGATGCAAAACACGGTGGGACAGGCCCCTGACCTCACTCTGCTGCCTCCCTGCTCCCTCCCACACCGTGTAAACATTTCTCCTGCCCCTCCCTTTCCTTCAAGAGTTTTTCAGTTGTTCCATCAAGATTTTCTCAATTGTTTTTTTATTTATTTTCTGTGGCTCTAGACTACCCTGTCATTTTTGCTGTTTGTACATGTGATGCCTTCAGAATACCCGCTGGAAATGGGAAGTCTAGAGCTACAGAAAAGAGAAGCCCCAAGACTTCCTGTGTGTGTGTGCATATGTCTGCATGTTCATATGTGTGTATGTGCATTATGTGCAAGTGCATGTGTGTGCATCTGCATGTGTGCACGTGTGCATGCATAGGCATGTGTGTGTGCATGAGTGCTCAGCAGGGACGTCCTGGAGTACAACTGTTTTGTGGGAGGTTATAACTCCCTGGTGGCCATTGCTCTCCCTTTCCCTGCCTGTCCACAGTGTCGCTGCCTTACAGGTGATAAACGGCCTTCCTGGGGAGGGGGTTTCAGAAAGCCCAGGCTATTTTGAGGCCTCTGTTTCCTTCTCCCGATCTGTAGGGAGGGTGTGGCTGTGCTGGAGACGCGTGCGTCACAGCTGTCAGTGCTGCGGAGGGTCTCACCTTGGTGCAGTTGGCTGCCTTGGGCTCCAGGTCATTGAGGGTGACAAGTTCTCGAAGGAGGCTGCTTTCCTGGTAGCCTCCCTTCACACCGCGCAGCTTGAAGTAGGCCTGGCTTCGCTGCAGAATGAGCCGCAGGTTGACTGCAAATCCAGCCATGTCTATTGCAAATGGCCGGTGGGGGTCAAACACCGTCTTCCAGCCGACCACCTTCCCTGCCCCGTTCACCCGTGGGGCCTCGTACCGCAGGCCACCCACGAAAGCGACGGGCCACACGGACACCCTCCTGGTGCTGCGCATCTACAAGTGGGGGGTCCAGAGTCAGGGCGCCTGCGCTGCAGACGTGGACGGACTCCCTTGCCCATGGGAGGCGACATCCTTCAGCAACCTCCATGCCCATGGCCAGCCAAGGCCACCCAGGGGGGTCCAGTACAGCCCTGCCCCCAGGGCCCCGTCCCATGGGTTGGGCACCTGAGGAGATGCTGCCCTGGGCTGCCGGCGAGATCTGACCTCTCAGACGGCCTGGTTTTCACCTTCTCAACATGGCCCTGCTGCCGTTTTCTCCCTTGTGTAAAACCTTTCGGTCTCCCCACTTCAGAGTGTGAAATGACTCCCCTTCTCCCCAGACTAGCACAGCCCATATACTCAGGCAGGTACCAACTGTTCCACCCAAGAGGTTTCTGGTAGTCACGCAGAATGACCTACTCAGAGACCCATTCAGAGGAGACCTCTAGGGCCAAGAATATGGTTTAGGGGCTCCACAGCCACCTGCCTTCCCCCTAATTGTGGGGGATGCTGCAGCCCGCAGTTCTGTCCTTTCCCTGGCTCTCTGCTGCCTGCCCCGCTCCCAGCCCGGCACCGCCTCCCGGTCTCCCCTGCGCGAGCCTCCACACCCACAGCCCCCTCCTCGGGAAGCCCCTCCACGCCCGGCAGCCGGGGCCCCGCGGCACCTCCTCGAAGAGCTCCAGGCTGTAGGTGTTGTCGTCGTCCGCGAAGTACACCACGCCGGGCTGGCTGGAGTTGCGCGGGAAGGTCTCACGCAGCCAGCGCAGGGCCAGGTTGCGCTGCATGGTGCCCCGCGGGATGCGTGGGTCGCGGGCGTCTCCTCGCAGCTTGTAGTTGCGGGGCGTCTCCACGTGCAGGTGCGTGTAGTTGAGGCCGGTGTCGCGCAGCAGGCGCGCGGTCAGCGGGGTCCGGCGCGGCGCGTCCTCCACCACCAGCCAGTGCAGGTTGGGCACGTGCAGCAGCGTGTTGGCCATGCGCGTCAGCTCGGCCTTCTGCACCGGGCGGCTGTAGGTGGGCGTCACCACGTGGATGGTGGGCAGCGTGTCGGACCACGGCGGCGGCCGCGTGTACACGTACTCGGTGCGCACCACCTCCACGATGTCGCGGTCGGACATGCAGTACTCTCTGGGGTCCGAGCCGGGCGGCGCTTCGCGTCGGGGGTCACTGCCCTCATCTGCGGATTGGGAGACAGGCGATGCGGGGAGGAGAGCGCTGGCTGTGGCCCCAGATTCAGAGCAGGGCACCCTCCTCCTCCCCTGCAGGGGCTGCTCAGACCCCTGCCTTGGACCTGTTAGCTCCAAGGTTGAAACCTGCAGCCCTGGAATCCTCTCTGTGAGGGTCCCAGTTCTGATGACACAGAGATAACCGCTTCCTTCCCACCTTTGCAGCCCTCTAGCTATTTGAGTGCAGTTGCCCATATTCCAAGATTGCATCCTCAGTTCCTAAATGCGCTGTTTTTCCTATGAAAAGGCATCCTGACCCTCCCCTCCCCAGCCCTCCTCATCTGGAGGGAGCTGGCGACGCTGCTCCGCACAGGGCTGTCCTGGCCCTCCCCTCCCCAGCCCTCCCCATCTGGAGGGAGCTGGCCACACTGCTCCGCACAGGGCTGGGCTAGCCCTCCCCTCCCCTCCCTAGCCCTCCTCATCTGGAGGGAGCTGGTCACACTGCTCCGCACAGGGCTGGGCTGGCAGAGCACATGGCACTGTCCCACTGTGGTGTGGAGGCCACAAAGCCCCACGGCCGCACCACTGCTGCAGCAGCCAGAGCACACTGTGGCCTGCGGGAGCCTGAGGCAGCTCCCCGGAGTTCTCAAGCCCTCGTCAAGTGGGGCCTCTTCCCTCCTGGCCTTAGGTAAGGCATTCTCTGAATCTTGGTGCTGAACTTCCTATTTAACTGCATTTTATTCTTGTGGGTTTTGCCCATAGTTGCCAAGATATATGTAGACCTAGCACTCCTAGCAAGAGGAGAAATCATGGCCATTGGGATTCTTGTTTTCCATGCGTCCCTTCTCTCCAAATTCTGTCCATCAGAAGGGCTCAGGCACCAGTGGACGGTGTGGCCCTCACTGTTCTAGCTTACCGCCGGGTTATAAAGGTAAGAAATCCCAGCGCCTGGCCTGAGACCCTGCCCAGTTCTGCCGTTACAAACCCTATGCCCTTGAGCAAACTGCTTAGCTTCTGGTGCCTCAATTTCAGCGACTGTAAAATGGGGCTAATAATAGCATCGAACTTATCAAGTTATTATGTGGATTGATGAGTCGACACATGCCAAGGGCTGAGAGCACTGCCAGGCACAGTTTCCTCTCCTGTGGAAGGGCAGTGGCCAACTCTGCTTCCTCTGGCTTCAGGCAATCAGTGGGGACAGAACGAGCCAGTCACACCAAAGGGGAGGACCCTGGGCATCAGCTCTTCTGCTGCCTCTTTCTGGCCACCACGGTCATCAGCAGCATGCGGGGCGTGTGGGACGCTAGCGTGGAGACCATATGAACGGACTCAGGTCTTCAGGAGTTCTCACGGGCAAATGGCACAAGGCACACAGCAATTTCTGAGGGCCGGGGGAGCTGACCAGCGGAGATGCCGTCACTCAAAGGGCACTGCTTAGAGGGGTTTGGGGTCATACTGTGAGAAGAGCAAGGTGGAAGAAAGCGGGATGGGTGTCTAGGGTTCTGACTTGGATAGAAGGTTTAATTTATCCTATGAGTAGTAAAGTATTGGAAACTGCGGCTTTGGGAGGAGGTTTAGAACCAGTTGGTCCAGCTCTCTGTCACCTCATCATCCCAAGCCCACAGAGGACCTGTGCCCTGGGAAAGTCCCCATACATGAGGGCACAGCTACTGCCTGTGCTCCTGGGCTCTGCCCTTGCCGTTGGCTTCAGGGTGTCTGCAATTTTGGGTCCTAACGGCCTCCTGGTGACCCTAACTTCACTCAGCGGCAGCTTTCATTCGCTCGCTCTTGGCATGCTCTGGAGACAGAGTGCCAAGTCCCCAGCCTCACGCGGCACCATCAGTGCTTAGCAAACAGCCTGACGTCTCCAGCACTGGAGCTCTGCCAAGAAAGCAATCGACACGATATCATGTCGCTTTATATATAGTAGCTTTAACCCCTCTGGAGTGATGTATTTGCAAGATAACAATGATTCTAAACTGACAAGCACTGAGAAGAGGCGCTAGAGTCAGGAGGAGAGGATGAGGTTTGGAAGAGAGGTGCTAAGTGGCAGCCATGGGCAGTCGGCTGCCGCAATCTTGAGCTTGGCCCTTCCTCATGGAAGCTTCATGAACAGCTAGCGGTGTGCAGGACCTGGTATTTGACTGTGCGGAGCAGCACAACTTCAGGCTGTGATTTTTGGACACTGCCTGCATCTTGGGGTTACAGGCGCTCACCACCTCTCTCTGCGTGGACTTGGGTGTCTTGTTTATCACACTGCCAGGTAAATATCATGCGCACTGCAAACGGAGAGCAGCTGCCGACCCCACGTGTTGAGTCTGTGCACGTAAGTGGGGGAGCGGGCAGAAGAGACAAAGTGCTGAGGAGCTGGGGCAGCCAGCTGTGGGGTGATGGCAGGTTTGGGTGTGGAGAGCTCTGTGTGAGAGGCAAAGGCAACCCAGGAGCCAGAGCCAGGGGAAGGGGGTTCTCCCCCAAGTTCTTCCACTAGTTCTTCATGGACTTTTCCTCTCTCCAGCCCTGTTTCCCCCAGGTAGCACTAGACCAGGGTTTCTTGTGCAGGAAAAGAAGAGAGGCAAACACTATACTCCCTGTGAAAGGGTTTAAAACACACTGCAGGCCAGAAATCCTACCCCCCCGACCATCCACTTCAGAACGGTCGCTTTCCTTGCATGTCATGAAATGGCATGTGAGGTTGTGTATGCGTCTTTCTGTGTGTGTGTGTGTTAATGATGTGTGTGTTTTAAGTTGTTCTGTATTTTAAGATGCATTGACATCTTGAAGGCCTTGCAGATCTGGGAGGGACTGCCCCTCCCAGGACTAGCTAATTCCTAGCGACAGTGTACACCCGCCTGCAAACACACTTTTCATATGCAAACTACCTGATCTAGAGCTCACACCCACCACCGTCATGGAGCTCTCCCACCCACGCCAATCTTCCCCTGCCCTAAACCACCCCAGGGTGATACTGGACAATTAGAAACCACGCCCATATCCTAAACCCACTGACATTCTTCAGACTGTGCAATTCTGAGCCAGCTCAGCTGCTGACCGTGCTTTGCCCTTCCCTTCCTATGAAAACCACTTCCCTTCCTACCAAAACCACACTAAAGCCTCCCGCTCCCTCCACTTCCCACCTCGGACGCCAGCACTTCCCACCTCAGACCCCAGCACTTCCCACCTCAGACCCCAGCACTTCCCACCTCCAGACCCCAACGCCACCCCCTCTCCGGGCCTTAGCACTTCCCTCGGACCCCAGCACTTCCCACCTCAGGCCCCAACACTTCCCACCTCAGGCCCCAGCACCCACCTCAGACCCCAGCACTTCCCACCTCAGACCAGCACTTCCACCTCGGGCGCCAGCACTTCCCACCTCAGACCCCAGCACTTCCCACCTCGGACGCCAGCACTTCCCACCTCAGACCCCAGCACTTCCCACCTCGGACCCCAGCACTTCCCACCTCGGACGCCAGCACTTCCCCAGGGCACGGTGTGCCCCCTCCCCTTGGGTGCTGAGAGTGACAAGCTCTTCTTTCAAGGTGGTTGTCTTGGCGTCTGCCAACCTACCATCCCGGACCTCTCTACACTGTGTGGGCAGCTTCCATTAGCTTCCCATTCCCAAAGGGGTGCAAGTCTCACGAAGGGGCCTAGATGATCTGGTGGTTCCTCCTAACTACTTAGTGAGTACAAGCAAGAACCCTTGCATATCAGCTGTGGTCACTGTCACTACCAAGGCCCAGCTGGGCAGGCAGGGCATGCGTGTGTCCTCACCCTTATGCACCGCAAGCAGGGGTGCGAGGGTGCTCTGGTGCCAGACGGTGATGAGCAGAGTCCAGGGCAGCACGATGAGGACGATCGCTAGGATGTCCCGTCTCTTCGGCATCTCCAAGGCTGGCTGCACCCACGGCTCCTCATTACCTGAGTGGCGGTAAGTTCAGGAGAGGGGTGGCCACGGGCGGCGGCAGCACAAGGGAGAAAAGAACAGGCATGGGCCGGGCCGGCCAGGCATGGAGAGGACAGAGCAGCTGAATGTTGGCTAGCAGGTCTTACCAGCACTCACAACCCACCCATTGCGGAAGCAGGTTTGGAGAGTCCGGCCCGACTGGAGTCTGAGAAGGGGTCGCTGTCCAGGGGCAGGGGTCAGGAACCCTGGGGGTTGGACACCTGCAAGAGAGAGCAGACGCAGATAGCCAGAGACCCAGGCACAGGAATGGATGCCAGCAAGGCCGGGCCCTGCTCTGGGACACACAGCGTCTGGGGTTCCCCAATGGAGCCTCAACCGTCCATCCCCTGAGGACCTCTTCTGTCCGTTCGAGTGGAACAGGCTCTGTCCTTCCCACAGGCACAGGGCCATGGCGCTGCTCCACTGATGAAAGTCAGGAGGGCGCAGGGGGCAGAAGCACAGACTGCAGAGACACCAGGTTTAAATCCCAGCTGTGCCACCCACAGGCTGTATGACCTTTGCAAGTCATTTCCGTTTTCCATACCACAATTTTCCCATCTGTAAAACGGGGCACTGTGGTTCCCTGCCTCATAAGGTCATTCTCAGAATTAAACGGTACCTTCCAAGCAGCCCTAAAATGCGAGCTACTTATCAAAGCCTGGATAAAGGGGTGAGTTTTTTTTCTCTCCCTTTTTTACCATATATGTACCATAAATTATTACATTAAAATAATTTCAACATTTTAGATTTGGGGGTACACGTGCAGGTTCGTTACGGGGCATATTGCATGTGACGCTGAGATTTGGAGTATGATGAATCCCATTTCCCAGGTACGAGCACAGTACCCAATAGGTCGTTTTCAGCCCTTCTTCCTTTTACAGTCCCCAGTGTCTATTCTTCTCATGTTTACAGTCATGAGTACCCAATGTCTAGCTCTCACTTAGAAGTGAGAACACACCGGATTTGGTTTTCCGTTCCTGTGTTAATTTGCTTAGGATAATGGCCTCCAGCTGCATTTATGCTGCTGCAAAGGCCATGATTTTGTCCTTTTTTATGACTGTGTAATATTCCTTGCTGTATATGCACCATGTTTTCTTTATCCAGTCCATGCTGATGGGCACCTGGATTGATTCCATGCCTTTGCTATTGGGAATGGTGCTGCGATGAACATACAGGGGCAGGTTTTTTTTCTTTTGGTGAAACACTTTATTTTCCTTTGGATATATACCCAGGAATGGGACTGCTGGCTAGAATGGTAGCTCTGTTTTAAGTTCTTTGAGAGATCTCCAAATTGCTTTCCATAGTCGCTGAACTAATTTACATTCCCACCAACAGAGGATATGTATTCCCTTTTCTCTGCAGCTTCACCAGCATCTAATATTTTCTGGCTTTTAATAATAGCCATTCTGACTGGTGTGAGAGAGTCTTTTACTGTGGTTTCAATTTGCATTTTGGTGACAGTCTTTTGAGGACAAAGAAGAGATGCTTCTGGGATGGGCCCTGGGGGAAGTGGGAGAGTGCCTTCCTCCGTGCAGGACACAGCACCAGGTGCTGGGCTGGGCAGCAGCAAGGGGTACAGGGCTTCCCGCAGGGCCTGCCACACTGAGGGGAGACAGTCCTCCAAAATGACAGCAGCCGGGGACCCAAGTGAGGAGAATGAGCCACTGGGACTCCTCAGTCCTGCAGAGGGTCCACTGGTGGCATCCCTGGGAACTGTTCTCTCACATGGCAAGGACACCGGGTGAAGAGACCTCCTAACCACCTTGGAAACTGTCACATCCTCTTCTCCTCCCTTTTTACTTCTGTGCTAAGCACCATGCATGATGCAGCAGGGACCCGTGGGGGTGACGGGGAGGGCAGGCAGCCTCGGGCAGCCCAGCCAGCCTCGCTGTGCTCACCTGTCCCAGTGCCCAGTGTTGGGTAGGGACAGTGCCTCACCTGGGGACCGTGCTGCCTGCTCCTGCCCCAGCTCACGTGTGCCCACCATTTCAGGCGGAGTCAAGCACTGTGACCGAGGAGGGTTTTTAGCCCCTGAGTTTCCAAAATAGTGTGTTTTCCCCTCCTCGCCGAGTCCTCTCTCCAAATAGTTCTGACGCCTTGTGGAAGACCAGGATCTGTCTTCCATTAAGGAGCACTGTGGTTTCCTGGGACGGCCGGCATCCCCTGCCCACACCCTGCCATCAGAGGCCCACTCTACCCAGAGAGTCTCCCCCACCCATTCCCTGGGGAGTGGAAGATCCACTGGGGTTCAGTGTCATAGGCACGTAGGAGATAGTGGACATTCTAGGCTATGTGCGTCTGTGTCCCCCCACAAACTCCTCTTTGCTGGCCCAGTGAGGGACAGAGCCTAGAACCCCACACGGGACGCCTGCTGGGCCTTGTGTTCTGAGATGCAAGTGACCTCATGCCACATTCCCCAGATTTAGCCTGTCCCTCCGCACCCAGGCCACTGCTGGAGTTGCATGGGGCTATGTGTCAAGACACGTTTTGGCAGGTGTGATCTTAGGCCACAGCTGATGAAGGATGGGGAGGCTGGGCCTGGCTGGGGCTTCAAAAACGTCCAGGAAGATTTCTTCTGTGTTCTCGGAGACTCTTGAAGGAGCTTTCTCAAGTGCTCCTGGTTTTGGTGAAGGTTCTAACACCAGGATGGAGAAAGCCAAGGAGAGAAGACGAGTGCCATGCCAGCTCAGTCCCTGTGGGCCACTCCCTTCCCTTTGGGGCAGCCTCTCAGCCCCCGCCCACTCTGGCACCTGCTCGGCCTCCCTTGTGCCTGCTTGCACTGTTGTTTATACAAACTTTCCTATACTGTGAGGGGTGTCTGAAGATGAGGCTCAGCTCTTCACATGCACCTGCTCCTGCAACGTCAGAGCAGCCCTGCGCAGTAAGCATGGCCGTGGTCCCTGTGGGTTCATCGAGGCCAGAGAAGGGGAGTAACTTGCCTGAGGGCAACCATGAGGAAATGGTGGAGTTGGAATTGAATCCAGGCCATCTGGCTCTATGCTGTCATCGGGGGCATAGGATGAGAGGTCCCAGGCCCCCAAGCCTCTGGAACCTGGGCCAGGCGGAGGGTGGGCAAGGGCCACACACAGACCAAACGCTTCCTCTGGCCCGGACCACAGCCACCCTCCTCTGCGATGGCTGCCCCCCTGTGGGGCCCTAGAACCTGCCTGGAGGCTGCAGCAGGAAGGAGGGGCGGGAAGGAAGAGGGGAGAACGGGGCCTGTGGGCAAGGTGCTGTGGGACGCTTTCTGCTCCCATCCAGGCTTTTTGGTCAAAACATCTATGAGAGAAAAAGGAGGGGGAGAGAGGGAGAAAAGCTCTAAAAATAAACTCAGCAATAAACCCAGTTGTGCATTAATTACTCTGGAAGCCATTATGGCTTGAAAACCCCATAACTTTAATGGAGGCTATTATAAGCATAGTAGCGAAATCGTGGAGCTAATTACCAGGCGGTTATCAAGCAGAACAGAGAGAGCCCCCAGCCTGGAGAACGCCAGCTGGCCGGCAGGGGGCGGGTCGTGGGACGTGATGCCTGGGCTGGGCAGGGGGCCTGGGGCCAGGCAACAGGGTGGGCTGCACCTGCCCCCAGCTCTGGGCCCCAGTCTGAGGCTGGGCTGCAAGGTTGGCCAGCACTGGTCCCCTCTTGCAGGCTGCTGCTTCTGCCTGGGGCTTGGAGGAGGGTGGAGTTCGCCTGTGGTCGCAGGCTGTCTCCAACAAGGACCCCACAATGGCTTCTAGACACTTGGGTCGGGCAGAAGAATCAGCACAAAGGTGCAGGAGTGGCTTGGCCGCACCCAGGGGAGCCCAGGAGACGGGGGCAAGCGTGGGGAAGAATGGGGTGCTGGAGGAGGAAGTGGGGGGAGGCACAAGGGGGATTTCGTGGGGAGGCAGGATGCGGTGTGGGCAGTGTGTGTGAGTGGAGGGCCCAGGCCTGCCGTGGTCACAACTCCCATCCTGACACTTGCACCACGTCTGTGACCAACCTCATGTCTCAGGCATCTCGGCAAGTAAAGACGCAAAAGGCTGTGCCCTGCCCTCCCCGGGTGTCCTCAGAGCCTCAGGTGCGAGCACTGCCCTGTGGGAGAGTGGAGGGCGGTTCCTGGTGGGGCAGCACATGGGAGTGGGCAGGTGGCCTAGGTGTGTCCGGCAGGTGCTCCACCGGGACCTGGGTCATGCTGATTGCCCTCCTTGACCTCGTCTTTACAGTAGGGAGGCTGAGCTGGACGTTTCAACGATCCTGCCATTTTAGCAACTGGAGGTTACCATAGGGCTCTGCGAGGAAGACGGGATGTCCTACATGAGGAAAGTGTAGCTCAGTGGGCGCCCAGGGCCAGAGGCAAGGCAAGAGGGCCGACAAAACAGCCTCCCATGGAACTGAGTCCTGACTTAAGGGCCAATATGCCTGTGGAGATCGGCCACGCTGGAAACGCCTCTCTGCAGGAATCTGTGGCATTTTGTTTTGTTTTGAGAGACAGGGTCTCTCTGTGTCACCCAGGCTGGAGTACAGTGCCATGATCACAGCTCACTGCAGCCTTGAGTTCCAGAGCTCACGTGATCCTCCTGCCTCAGTCTCCCAAGTAGCTGGGACCACAGGTACATGCCACCATGTCCAGCTAATTTAAAATTCTTCTTTGTAGAGACAGGGGGTCACTAAGTTGTCCAGCTGGTCTCAACCTACTGGGCTCAAGAGATCCACCTGCTTTGGTTTCCCAAAGTGCTGGGATTACAGGTATGAGCCACGGCACCTCCAGAGAGGAATCTGTCTATGGGTTTTAGGGTGTTGTGGGCTGTGAATAAGGACTAAGGGGTGTCTGGGACTCAGACGGGAAGGCTCTGATTGGCCCAGGCTGGGGCAGAACGTGTGAGGCTGTGGAGCACATGCAAGGCTGGCTCAAGGCTGGCCGATTCTAAACGCATGGAAAGGTTTTCTTCTGAGCCTGCAGGCGTTCACACGAAGGCCTCAGCAACGCCTCAGTCCCTGAGGCGAGGAGCTTATTTAATTTCACTCAACAAATATTAATTGAGCATCTGTAGCAGGCAAAGCACTGTGTTGGATTCTGTGGGCAATCCAGCAGCAAGGGTGGGGAAGCTTTGCTCAGTCCGGAGGGGACGAGATGACACAGCTCGCTCCAGTGCAGGCGACGCGTGAACGCAAAGTGTCCCCGAAGGCCTGGATGCGTGTGCGTGGCGTGTTACAAACAAGCTCAGGCACTGTCCAAGGT